CTAAAATAAATATTTTTTTTATTTTTTTTTTTATTTGTTGTGTTTTTTAAATTTTTTTCTCCCCCCCACCTTTTTTTTTTTTTTTTTTTTTTTTTTTTTTTTTTTTTTTTTTTTTTCTCCACAACTCCCACTCTTTGAATACAACCGCGCACATTTATCACAATGGCGCCTACGAGAACTGCGCGCACGGCCGCCGCGAAAGAAAATGGCACAGCAGCCGAAACAGCAGCTGCAGCTGATGGAACTCCCGTGAAGCGTGGCCGCGGTCGCCCCCCGAAGAACGGCATTGCGCCTCAAGCTAAGAAAGCTCCCTCGGGTCGCCCTCGTGGCCGCCCTCCCGGAACCGGCGGTGGTGTCAAGAAGGCCGCAAAGGCTACCCCCGCGAAGGCTGCTGGTACCAGCGGCCCTGGCCGCCGTGGACGTCCTCGCAAGAGCGACGCAGACGCCACTACGACACCGAAGAAAGGTGCGACTCCCAAGTCCGCGTCCAAGACCTCTAGTACCGGCAAGGGACGCGGTCGACCGCGCAAGAGCGATGTCTCCCCCGTTGAGGAGCCTGAAGAAGATGAGGACGCTGAGCACAATGATGATGATGAAGGTAAGACTCTGTAATTTATTTAGGGAAGGATGATAGTCATTTTGTTTTGGATGTTGCCGTGAAGACTAGCCTAGGTACGTGTTTATGAACAAAAAGCTAACATTTCTACTTGCGTAATTTATAGACGACGCAAATGAGGACATCGCGATGGAGTACGAGGCTGATGAAAATGACGCCGAGGATGACGACGCCGCTCCTCAAGAGGTAAGATCGCCCTATTCTCTTCTTCCCCTGTGCACTTATATATCCCAGCCTTTGATATACCAATAACTTACTAATCCCGGCTATACAGGAGGATTAGGGCACCGAAATCCGAGCGCTATACGTGGGAGCTTTTTTATCCAACGTCCTCAGACGTATCAGTAACGTGAGGGGTGCTAATGCTCCCCCGGAGAATTAAGGACCTAGAAACCTAGTTGCTTCTCTATCTACCTATCTATCCCCGTGGAAGCAAGTCGTTTTTTTTTTCTAACGGTCTTCTGTGTGAGCAAATAACTCGGTTGCATGCGGACACCAATGTCATAAGGGAGACACAGGGGAAAGGGGGGGGAGGGGAGGGCTTTCTTTTTATGATTGGCTGAGAATAATGGCGTTGATTAAGGAGGAGCCGGCTTTGTACACATAAACATACTCATACTTCCGAAGCAGCTATCGCTTCGTAGTCTATTCGTGACTACGATCTACTACTACTAGTGCTCCCTCACAGCTTGTTTATTACTATACGTCTCGATATTTTCCGGAGGCGAGAAACCAAGAACGTACGAAAAGTCTTATCTAACGCAGTGCATTGTCAATTTCCCGCCACACCTATGCGTACCTAGGTACTTATAATACGGAGGTAGGTAGGTAGGTGATAAAGGCATATCGTAGTAAATTAACCTGCGCGCTCGCGGAGTTGTCGTGGTATAAATACATATTAACGGGTGTAAGAAACCGTCTCACAAGCCCTATCCTTCTACCTCTCTTAAGATCCCTTTTTGAACTTCTGAATCATTCTACAAACCGAGCACCGAGCAAGGCTCCCCACATATCCATTCATATGCGCTTCCACTCCTCGAACTCTACCGCGAGGTGTTCCTTGAGCTGTTTAAAAGAGGCCCCGAAATTCTTGCCGCAGCGCCAGCACTTCAGGTCGGCATTCAGATACCCGGCCTTGCCAGGGTGTCTCCTCTCGTCGTCCTTCGCGAGCGGGAAGTCGGCGACGTCGATCAGGAAGGGCGTGTGGAAGCTGTTGTAGTGCTTGCGGTGGCGCATGCACTCCGAGAGCATGTCGGGCGCCAGCACGTGGACGTGGAGGTCGTTCATGGACGGGTGCGCGTGGATGCCAACCAGCAGCTCGCGCTCCCAGTCGCGACCCTTGGGCAGCTCAGTCTTGCCATCGCCATCGCCATCGCCATCGCCATCGCCATTCCGCCCGTCGAGCACGGCCTCGCGCTCCCGGTCCTGCGCGCTGTACCGCCCGTACCGCCGCTGCAGCTCCTTCGCCACCAGGCGCTTGAGCTTCCGGGTCTCGGCCTGCACGGCGGCGAGGAAGGCCGGGTCCTCGAAGGCATCGAACGGGTGCATGCGGCTGCGCGGCGAGCGCGGGAGGAGCAGCGCGTGCACGGTCGATTTCGGGTACATGTCGTTGATGGCGACGAACTCGTCGCCGTGGTAGATGACGCGGCTCGGCGGGAACGCGGCCGGGTCGTGGGTGTAAGCGCCGAGGCCGTCGCGCCTGTCGAAGGGTTTCCGCGCGGGGGCGCGTCTGGGGTGGGTTTGGTCTTTTTCTTCCTTGGCGGGCCTCTTGGCTTTTCGCAACATGAGTTCTGAGACTTGTTATGTTAAGTTAGATTTGGTTACCTTGAATGTATCTACCTTAGGTAGGGTAATGTTGGGAGTGTAGAAATGGGAGCTTGTCTCGGCTGGGTCAGGTAGGTAGGTAGGTAGGTACTTACAGGCGTTGCGCTTCGTACGTTGACTTACGCCGGTGTCTGCTGCGTCCGCGGCAGTCGGCGCTGTCCCTGCGATTTCCTCCTTGGTGATGGCATCTTCGGAATCTGAATCGACTGAGGCCATTGTTTTGCTTGTCTTTCGATTCGCGCGGAGGGGGAGAGCTCTCGAGAAACACCGTCTTAAGCCTGGAGATCTGCTTTGGTGATTTGCACTTTGGAGATACGTGGGTGGGAATGAGGAGGAGTAGGTTGGTTGGTAGAGAGTTCGGCGATAAAATAGAGCCGGAGAACTCGTGGTTAGAAGTAATCTTCACATTTCGTATTACGGTAATAACCCAAGAGATATGCGGGGTGAAATATTGTTGCACCTGTTGAATTATATACCTAGGTATGTATAGGTATAGAATGGATTGTTGATATTAGCCTTTAGTATTGTTGCTGTTTATAATTCGAAGCTTGCTTTTGTAGTTGTAAGTATTGTTGATGTAATGAGAGGCGAAAGTGGAAGCTTGTGTAAGGCGTTTACATGGTACCTACAATACGAGGTGCCTAGCCTAACCTACCTAGGTACCCAGGTGCATTACCTAAGGCCCCTATTTGTTTAGGTATGCGCCCCGAAGCTACACCTTCTATCTACCCCGCCATTGTACTAAGTGGGGACATGTAGGAGTAACAGGTGAAATTCACACCGTGCGGGGTAGTTGAAAATTGCCAATACCAAGAGAAACTTGACAAAAATGCTAGGGACTATCACTTGATATACAGTATAAATACCATTTCAACTGCAATTGAATACTTCCATACCAAAAGCATCTAAGTTCACACTACGTAGACCGCCACCGCATAAACACCGGCAAAACCGTAATTTTTATTGCAAGGCTTGTCATCTTCAGACGGTTCACAAACTTATTTCAACTCTCCAATAAATACATCTAGGACGCCAGATGGCTTATCAATATGGGGAAGAAAGGTAAGGATACGGCTACAGCGGCACCTTCAGGAGCTGCTGTGGCCGCTAACGCACCACCACCACCACCAACATCATCATCATCATCAAAGAAGTCATCCAAAACAGGTAAAAATACCACCGCTTCACAGCAAAATGACGATTTTATAGTGTTCACAAACTCTACGAATGATTCAAAATCTAGTAGAAAAGGTGGGGGAGGTGGAGGGTCTTCGAACGCGGGAGGAAAGAAATCTGGGGCCGGCGAGTCGACGACAGCAGAGTCTACGGGGCCTCCAAAGCCGACGGTAAAGCAGATTATCGGAGGAGCGAGTTGGACCGGTAAACTACCCGTAAACCTGCTCTCGGAGCATTGTCAAAGGCAGAAGTGGGACAAGCCTGATTACCAACTTGTAAGCGGCTTGTTTTGCTCAACTGCCTCGTGTACCTTAGTTAATGAATTCGAGTTAGATCAAAAGTTCGGAGGGCATCTCGTATTTCGTCCAGCTTAGTGCCAGAAATCCCAAGACTCAGGAGGTGCAGAAGCTACCTGCTTTTAAGCTACCACCAGACTATAAGAACCTGGTGATGAGAGAGACCCCATTAGAAGCTAAACATGCAGCCGCTACCTATGCTTTATTCAGGGTCTGTAGTATGAAAAATATACATACTACCCTACCCCCGGATTATAAAACACTATGGAAGAAATTCGAGGAACTAAAGAAGGAAGATGTAAAAAAGGGGAACGCGTGGATGTACGAGGCAGACCCGTTTGCTACTTTGAAGCAGCGAGAAGACGAGAAAGCTGCGGCGGAAAAGAAACGAAAGGAGCAAGAAGCTATTAGAGAAAAGGCGAAGAATATGCCTGGTGCGGCTGGTTTAGTCCTTCGAAGCAATGCCGCATCTTCTGGAGGAGGAGGGGGTAATCCTATGAAAGGATGGACGACAGTTCCCAAAATCGAAATGGGCCGGAAGACGCGGTCCCAATTAGAAGATTTGCTTCGACGCGAAGTAATCTGGAACCCACATGGTGTCAATATGCCAACTTCCCAGAAAGATGCTATTATTAAAGAACTCACCGGCTCTGGCTTTCGGAAAAGTCACGTAGAAGAGGCTGTCGAAGAATGCAAGGATCGCGAAGAGACTCTGGAATGGCTACTTATACACGTACCTGAGGATGACCTTCCCAGGTGGGCCTTGCCAGAGAGCTACAGCGCAGGTGTTTCAGTGGCTGCGACGCAGGATTTAAGGCGCGAAGCAGCAGTGAAGCGGCTTTCTCAATCGGGATACTCTGCTGAGCTATGCCGGAAACTGTATGATGAGAGGAACGGAAACGAAGGGCTTACTGCCGAGGCATTACAGCATTTTCTACTCTCCAGCGGCAACGACTCGGCACTGACAAATGGAACTGCCGAAGAGCCATTCATATCAGGTACTCCGGAGGAATGCTGGGACGAAGAGATGGAAAGTCTCTCATCCGTCTTCAGTGAACATTTCAAACGATTATCTGATGACGTCTGTCAAATACGCATTGACTCGGTTCGAAATGGATCCAAGAAAGACGTTGAGACCTACGTACAATTCCGCAAAACACCGCGGTATCCGTCCGAGGTTGTCGTGGCCGTGGTGGCGGATTTGCCCTCTTACATTAAACTCAGCATAGTCAAGAAGACTCTCGCTTATCTCATCGAGTCTCTCAGCGAAGAACCGATGAAGATTTACTTTGCGGTTGATTGGATTCAGCAGAATATTAACAGTATTATTGAGAATCCAGGGAAGCTAAGAGATATATCCGGTGTTGCATCTACCGCAGCAGAGACCCGTCACGTTATACCAGTGAAGCAGAGGTCTTCACGACATCCTAAACCCTTATCGTGGACTGTGGATATGCGTAGCAAGGAAGAATGGCAGAGGAGGCAGAATAATCCTGTTCTAAGAGAAATGCTTGCTCAGCGACAAAAGTTGCCCGCTTGGCAAGCAAGAGATCTGGTTGTCCACACAGTTTCACAGAAGCAAGTTACTATTATTGCTGGTGAGACAGGCTCTGGTAAATCTACACAATCAGTGCAGTTCATTCTAGACGATCTGTATAGCAAGGGACTTGGGAATGTCGCGAATATTATATGCACACAACCACGCAGGATCTCTGCTCTCGGCCTAGCGGACAGAGTTAGCGACGAACGTTGCTCAAAGCTCGGCCAGGAGGTGGGCTACATTATCCGTGGAGAAAATAAGACCGGCTCTCAGACGAAAATCACATTCGTTACCACTGGTGTGCTTCTGAGACGCCTGCAGACTTCTGGTGGCCGGACCGAGGACGTCGCTGCGTCGCTTGCTGATGTTAGCCACGTTGTCATTGACGAAGTTCACGAACGAAGTCTGGATACAGATTTCCTCTTGAGCATCGTTCGGGACGTCTTGAAACGGAGAAAAGATCTCAAACTCATCCTCATGAGTGCTACACTCGACGCGGCAACTTTTGAAAGCTACTTTACCTCTGAAGGACTCGAGGTTGGCTTAGTGGAGATTGCTGGCAGAACATATCCCGTTGAGGATTATTACCTCGACGATATAATTCGCATGACTGATTTCGCCGTAGACAATAACAGGTATCGTGATCGAGACGAGGGAATGTTTGACTCTACAGAGCAAGGTCGTGGCGACAAAGCACCGCAAGATCCTATTAACAAGACCATCCAGAAACTAGGTTTCCGAATCAACTATTCCTTGCTAGTTGAGACGGCAAAAGCTATCGACGCAGATTTATATCATAGCAACAAGAAGGGCGGCATTCTTATATTCTTACCGGGTGTTGCGGAGATCAACCGGACGGTTAGCCAACTCAAAAGTGTCTCGTCTTTTCATGTTCTGCCACTTCACGCCTCTCTCGATACACGCGAGCAGCGAAGAGTATTTACAACCCCCCCTCCTGGAAAGCGCAAAGTTGTAGTGGCCACGAACGTAGCAGAGACGTCGATTACAATTGATGACATCGTAGCTGTTATCGATACGGGAAAGGTGAAGGAGACAAGCTTCGATCCTCAGAATAACATGCGCAAGCTCGAGGAGACGTGGGCTTCCCGCGCCGCTTGTAAGCAACGTCGGGGACGTGCTGGTCGAGTGCAAGCTGGTAAATGCTATAAGCTCTACACGAAGGATATGGAACAGCGCATGGCCGATCGTCCAGAGCCAGAGATTCGACGGGTGCCTCTCGAGCAGCTCTGTTTGTCAGTGCGAGCCATGGGTACCAGAGACGTCGGTGCATTCCTGGGAAGGACACCAACACCGCCAGCTGTTTCTGCTGTTGAGAACGCCGTAAAGATGCTGCAACGGATGGGCGCACTTGATGGCGAGGAACTGACTGCTCTCGGACAACAACTGGCTATGATCCCCGCTGATTTGCGTTGCGGGAAGCTTATGATATACGGTGCCATCTTTGGCTGTCTTGACGAGAGCGTCTCAATTGCTTCCATCCTAAGCACCAAGAGCCCGTTCATATCTCCCCAAGAGAAACGTGATGAGGCTAAAGCTGCCCGCATGAAATTTTCTAGGGGCGATGGCGACCTTCTTACAGATTTGAGAGCATATCAGGAGTGGAACGCCATGATGGAGGGGGGTACGCCGCAGCGACAACTACGACAGTTCTGCGACGAGAATTTCCTCTCATACCAAACCCTCAGCGACATTTCAGCAACCCGCACACAATACTATTCAGCACTTTCAGAACTAGGTATACGCGAAAATCGCCTTGCGGGCAACCAACCATCGACGGCACTTGTGCGTGCACTTACGGCATCGGCGTTTACGCCGCAGATAGCGCGTATACAGTTCCCGGACAAGAAGTTCGCAACGTCGATGTCAGGTGCGGTAGAACTCGACCCGGAAGCCCGAACAATCAAGTACTTTACGCAAGAGAACGGCCGCGTGTTCATCCATCCTGCGAGCACCTTACATGATAACCAAGGATTTTCAGGCAATGCCGCGTTTCTGTCCTACTTCAACAAGATGTCCACAAGCAAAATCTTCATCCGGGATTTAACACGTGAGTTTGATTCTTTCGCATACCGCTAATAGACGTGTTACTAATTGCTCCTACTTTGTAGCGTTTAACTCCTTCACATTGCTCCTGTTCTCTGGCGCTATCGAGTTGGATACTCTGGGCAGAGGCTTGGTGGTCGATGGCTGGTTAAGGTAAGATAGCCATTTATATTGAAGTCGCCTCCCCCTCCCCCAAAGAGTTATACTAATTACCTGTCTCTTACTATAGACTACGCGGCTGGGCTAGAATCGGAGTCTTGGTTTCTAGACTGAGGGGCATGGTAGACAACATCATCGCGTTGAAGGTCAATGATCCAAATGCAGATGTGCGCAACAACGAGGTGATTAGAATGGTGGCTAAGCTCATAGAATTGGATGGCTTAGATGCTTAAATGGGTTTCACTGTCGTTCATTTGAGGTCTCAAAAGTATTGGCTGTTATGTCTTTGGGAATGTGCAAATGAATATTCGTTACGATAGGTGGATAGATTATTTTAGAAAATATGGAAACAACTGTGGATATTTGTAATGAATCTATTTGTCTTGTACAGTATGATATTTCTCGCTTGTTCTAGATGTGTTTGTTACCCTGCAAGCCAAGAACTACAGGCTTGTTTATCTCAAACTTCCGTGCTACTCGGTCTTTATTGATGTCATAGAAGCAAGACTTTAGGTAGGTACCTTAGGAGGTAGGTATTCAATATAAATTCCTATATGCGTGGAATTAACCGGGGAATTATATATATTGCTCCAATAACCGTTGGTCTTTTAGTTTGTCAAATTCGGATCCTTACATGCATACGTGTGGACCCGAAACCAGCCTCCTACGATGCAGGTCACGGACCTAGAGAGAAAGAGAAAACAGAGGGGCTTTTTACAACTGGAGGATAAACAAATGCAAGGGTGTAATAATCAGGTAAAGAAAGCATGAATCATCAAAAGGATCAGCGAATCCCAACGAATGATGGAATGTCAAGTATCAGGTTGACAGGTAAGGCACGCCTTAACATTCGATGTTAAGTGGGATACGAGCTCGCCGATCCATAATACGAACTTACATCTCTTTACCACCTATCTACCAGGAATTCGAATACCTAGACCGATAAGCAAGCAAGCAATGCGAAGGAAAGTTCCGGAATGCATCAGCTTTTTAGCTCACATGACATGGCACACCTATGTCCCTGTTTTGAGTTTCGGTCTTGATGGACTCACGATCAAACGGGCAGGGGATCTACTTGCGTGCGTATGCAGAGATGGTTTGAGATGCACTAATACGAGCTAGGCTTATCCACTTCGAGTGAGTCTTTGAGGGGTTTCTGGTGATGTGCCTGACCAATTCTAACCGAAACTTGAGAGGCTGGTTTATAACAGACAGCATAGGTAGCGTGTATTACACATACCTAAGTAATATATGAGGTATTAGGTATGCGTTTGTGGCGCAATAGAGAAATAAACGTATAAGAGGGACCGGTCTGACCGCAACACGCACCTCCGCTAATGGAGGACTCGAGATTATTCCATCCCGTCCTCCCGTGCGGAAACTTCATAATTCTGTAAGGTTTATATTGAGGGGACGGGTCGAGCGGAACGCTTCAATATCCCAATTTAGTCTTCTGGCATCATGTCGTATTACTTGGTAGGACGCGCCTCCAACCTTATTCGACCTGTCATCTGAAGTTTTAACTACTTGTCACCCGATGTTTAAACTTGCCCGTCGTCTGAGCTTGCTCTATATGCCAACGGGATTACGTAGGTAAGGTAGGCAGAGCGGGAGGAAAAAGAAAAAGAGGCCCCGTCGCTTGGGTTCGGGACGCTGCGGCTGGCTGGCTGGCTGGCTTGTCTAATCATCTATAGAGTATGCTCATCACCGAAAATAGTCTCATGTATCATCGAGGGGAATGAATACGACTCGCTAACCATCCTGCCTGATATCTAGTACTTCCACCAATGGTAAATAGAAAGGGGAGGAGCGAATAATATAGACATACCTTGTTTGTTTGGAATAAACACTAGGCTCACGCCAAATCTAGACGTGTACTATTATTTTTATTGTCATTATCATCCACGACTTGGGAGGATTGATTTGTCTCAGTCATCAACGAGGATTGGGGGAGGGAGTGTGTGTTGTCATAAAATACCAATTTAGGTTACCGATGACGATACCGATGATGGGCTTCAAGATCCTCGCCCTGCTAGCGGCCGTGGCCATGGCGCGCCACCCGCCGGCGAGGGTGCAGTCGAACACGAGCGAGATCGCGACGCAGTACTTCACCCAGAAGGTGAACCACACGGAGGACGCGGGGTCGGCGACCTTCAAGCAGCGGTACCAGCTCGTCACGGAGCACTTCGAGCCGGGGGGCCCCATCCTGTTCGTGCAGAGCGCCGAGGCCGGGATGCCCCCCATCAACGCGAGCGACTTCGTCGACTACGCGTCCAAGCTCGGCGCCCTCGTCGCCATGCTCGAGCACCGCTACTTCGGCGACTCCCGCCACGGGAGCTACCCGCTCCACTACAACCCGACGAACGTCTCCAACGAGACCTTCGGCGCCCTGACGCTGGACAACGTCCTCCAGGACGGCGTCAACTTCGTCAATTGGATCAAGACGACGGTCCGGGGCGCTTCGGATAGCAAAGTGATATATGGCGGCTGTAAGTAAACCGATTCCTTCTTTCTCTGTCTCTCTCACGACGTGAAGGGGATAGATGAGTGGGTGATGGATGACCGTTGATCTAACAGTACTTATTTGCAGCATCGTACGGCGGCTTTCTCGCCGTGTTGGCACGCATTCGGTATCCGGAGACGTTCTGGGGAGTGATTGCCTCGTCGCCTGCGCTGAATTCGTTCGGCCCCCTCGGCTCGAACCAATATAAATTCGATTCGGCGAAGTGGGCGAGCCAGGTTTACTACAACATATCGAAGGACGCAGCTTCCAAGATAAAAACGTCCATGCTGACTTTTAAGAAATGTCTTGAAGGTAAGACTCTCGCGTACCTCTAACCTAACCTATCTTGGGTACCTATTTAAACATTAGGTAACCTTTGAATCGTGTTATATTATTAAGTTAGGTTAGGTTTGGTAGGTATACATATAAGGTAAGATGGATATACTAACACGAACAAGATAATACCTGCGACACGACTATCCCCGACCTCAACGTATGCAAGAACTCGACGTCGCTCGGGTACGAGAGGCTGTACAACGCCGCTCTCAACACGTACCTCGCCGTCTCCAAGTACAACTACCCGTGGATCGAGAAGTACCCCGCGGCAAACCCGCTGCAAGACCTGATCCAGCAGACCCTCTCCGCCAAGACGGCGGGCGAAGTCCTGCGGATCCCGCTCCTCGCGGCGTCGTGGGCTAACACCACTACTAGCACTACCACCAGTAGCGCGGCGCCTTGCATCGACGGCTTCAACGCGAACATATCGCAAGCGAGCCAGGGGGCGGCAGCGGCGGCGGGCAGCCAGCCGGCGTGGACGGCCGTGACCTGCGGGTACTACGCGATCAACGACCGGTCGATCCCGGCGGACACGCTGCTGCCGGAGGCGTACGCGCGGGGCACGGTCGACCTGTGCCCGCGGGCGGGGTGGGAGGCGCCCGACTACGCGCGCGAGAACGAGTACTTCCGCCTCAAGTACGCACTCACGAGCGACGTGCTCGACGCGACCGAGCGCCTGCTTGTCGTGCAGAACGGGTACGACCGCACGGCGGCCATCGGCTCGCCGACGCTGAGCGCATCTGACAGCCGGAACCACTCCAGGGTCGTGCTGTTGGAGGGGACGGCACATGCGGAGGATGCGGTTTCGGAGGCGGTGGAGCCGAGGGGGGCGAAGGCGCAGATGGATTATGTACGTCTTTCTTTTCTTTTTGTGCTTTTTTCACTTGTTTGCCTTTTTGTTTTGCTTTCCGGTTATGCTATCTATATATTACTTACTGCGGATGTGGAGTGGAGCGGTTGCTGACTTGAGTTTATTTGAGTTGCAGATCCGAGAGCTTAAGCTGGCGCATCTTAAGGAGTGGCTCGGACAGGGCAACCAGACGGATTCCGGCTCTGCGACGTTGGCGCCGGCGCGTGGTACGACGACGACGTTTTTCGGGGTATTTTTGCTGGTTGTGTTTTGGGGGTTATTATGAACGATGCGATGCTGATGAATACCTATATTATGATGATGGAATGAATGATAAAGCATACATACCCGTACTTAATCTATAATATCATTGAAACTAATATAGCGTACTATTAGCTTACATTTAAACTTACCGGTAGACAAGATTTGTACATAAAAGTGTTATGATGCTGCTTATAGTTCCTCGTTGACGGCCCTCCGTGATAACTCCGCTTAAATCATTAAAGGGGTTAGGGGTTGTACATCCGCAATGAGCGCGTTTATAGATTGACTTGTAAGTTAATCGACGAATAAATTCTCCTGGTTTTATCTTGCTCGCTAATTCTTCATTTTCCCCCGCTGGTGTATATGTCGCGCCGGTGAAGCCAAGTCTTTATTGAAGTCTATTACAAACTCAAATCGCCGAGACGCGTGTTCTTAATCTAGAGCACATAACCCATAAATTATATCTAGAGCGTGGCTCTCTGGGACTGTATGTAACGTAATAATAGTAGTTATTTGCCAACTGCCGAACTAGTCACTGAATCTGTTATTGTCAGATAGGTATGGCTTCGGATTCGCCATCGCTAGCCACTTTTACTCTCTTTCCCTTACTACCACCCGAGCTGCGCATGAAAATTTGGCGGGAGGCGTTTCAACCCCGCGTGGTAGAGATACATCCGCAGAGGGACGCGGACGACAGCTATGCGCAACCAAAATGGGTATCGAACAGCGATAACCCCGCCGTCACGTCCGTATGCTTCGAATCTCGTGCCTTAGCGCTCGAGCACTTCACGGTTCTCTTACCCGTGTACAAGCCGCAGCTCGGGATTCCTGTGCCTCGGTGTCTGTACTTCTCGCCCGCTTCCGATATGCTCGCTATCATAGGCCAGGTCCGCTTCCCGTGGCTATCGGAGATCTTCCAGACCGTTCGGCAGCTAGACCGGACCAACCGCGGGCTGCGGCGCGTGGGGATGAGCTTGAGCTGCTGGCCGTACAACTACAAGTTCACGGCCTTGAAGATTTGGGAGAGACCTTTGTTTGTCGGGCTGGATGACCTGGTGCTTATCATGTACAACGACCAGAGGCCGCCTGATACTTTCCGGCGCGGCGAGGCTGGGCTAGAGCCGGTTCAAAATACGGATTCGCTTGCTAGCATCCTCAGGGCCAATCTACGGGCCATTTCCAATGTCGGCAATTTCTGCATTATGAATCTGACATTTCACTCTAGCTGAGCTCTGCATCGCGATATCGATTGGTCAGTTGCTAGCTACCTGATATGATGAACATTCTGCGTTATTACGTATGAGTTAATAGTTAGTATTAGGGTTCCTCCGAGACTCCTTGTTTGGATGTTGAATTCAAGTGCCTACCGAGTGGCTATCAACGTGTACTTTGTCATATACTACGCAGCACGACGAATCTGCCACATACGACCACGGGAACTGGAAATTCGGAATTTATTAGCTACTAGAAGTACTTCAAAAGCTAGAGTCTGACGAAAGTCATTGATGGATTTTTTTTGGTCTAAAAATGTAAGGGGAGAGGGCGGGGGGGAAGAGCCCAATAATGATGTATGTAAGGGACGACAGTAGTTTAGGTATATTTGAATGTTGATGCTACATCTAGGTAGTAGATACAAACTGTAAGCACCGTTATTATCATTCAAGATTGCTAACGACATACTGTACGACCTAAGCATGGGTATTACTTGATATCTCTCGGGGCTTGGTTCACATTTAAAACTTACTCCAATCAACATTATTTCAACTATTGATATGAACTGTTGATATGAACTGTTGATATCACAATCAACCAGTTCCTTGGAAGCTATGTTGCTGGGAGTGTGACTAGTATCAGTTCTAAATTCAGAAATTCTCATGTAGATAGCAATCATTGTGCACATGCACCGTCAACTACCACCCATCAACCGTCAAGATGCATCATCTCGGACTTTACTCGCAATGTGGTATTTTTGCCGACATTATATTCAAACACGAACGGGTAGTAGACGTATGAACAGCGTACCTTTAGCACTATTTTTCAATCCTGTTTTATATCGCTAATATGGTGTGGTTTTCGGTAACGATGAGTCGACTTCGTATCGTGGGCAAACGCGATCCTTCCTTTTCCCAGACATAGCACCTAATATCACAATGGTAAACGGGTTCACGTTATGCCGCCGTCCCAACTGCCAAACATGCGCAGCCTCTCCTCGGTTTATACCTACCTAGGTACCTAGGTACCTATGCACTACGAATGCTTTCACATATTTCGAGAATGTTGCGAAAAATTCGACTCCTTGGATCAACTTTGGGCAGCCGCCGCGTGAAGAAGTCCTTGGCAAAGAGCACGCCCTATTTACCTATCTTTTTGGTAACCAACTTGATACTATCTCACTAAACGCGCTAGCCCAAGCGTGCCAATTTCCGCGACTGTGCAAGCTTCCAGTTGAACTGCTGTGCAGTCTCGGCGCATAGCTTAGCTGCTAGAATATCAGCTGGCGGCCCAGAACCCATACTCACGATGTCACCGGGGGATATTTTCTCTTGGAAACGCGGCGGGACGCTCGAAAAGTATTGCGAAGCTTCCTCGCCGCTTATGCCTCTAATAAGACTTACTATTGATTTCGACGGAATCAGCAGTATGGAACATATATCAGATCAACCTTCCAACGAGGTATCTTCTGTCAGTTTCCGTTATATCGTAGAGCAAAAGAAAACGACTGCCAAGTTCTCCGCGCAATTTAAGGTATGCATTTTATATTATTAACTTAATTTTCCTGGGTTCGTTAATCATGTTTAAGAATGGCTTCTTACGTCTCGTACTGCCGACCGGTCAACCAACCCCTAGAATATGGAACTCCACAATGGACCTATGGAACTGCCATCGGCTCGATGGGATACTGAACTTTTGGTTTACGTCTGCTAGAGAGGTATCTACTTCATCGAACCGCTTCTGAGCTAGGCACATCCTGACTCGCATCCAGCAATATAACATGCGGCCGCAGACAGCCTTGAATAATCATGAGAGCTTCCTGCCAATCTCGGTCTGCAATCCATTCCCACTGCCCATTCGAATGAATGGCCATATGACCAATAGCATGATCCTGTATCATAAGCTTCGTTGAAGATAGTCTCGAATCCACGCCCAATCATCAAGAAGCCCAATTTATATGCCCTGTCAATTTACTATGTAGAAGTACCCTAAAGATGACCCTTACAGCTTACATTAGGCATGTTAGGTCTTCGCTCACATACATCTAACCTATATGTGTTTACAGCTGAAAGACAAATCACCTCTCTCCCATAGGTTAGGAAGGTACCTAGGTACCTAATTTATATAAGTGGAATAAATGGAGAACTGGTGAGTAAAAGACCTCCGGATTTACATATTTAAGCTCAGATACGGAAGGTACCTGTCATGACGATCCGGGGAAGTGGTACCAGATTACGACGCGTACCTAAGTCACCGGAGGCTCTAAAGAGGTCTCGCCTGTTTAAGACAGACAAGTCTTGCAGATTTCAAAGGCCATGTGGTAGACCTGTGCATACATATCGGTCTGCATACACACGGATGTGCATAGTAACCGTTGTATAAAAGTTCATGTGGCCTATGGTATAGTACCTAATGTAGTGTATAATAGGTAACCACCTAGCATACTTGCCATAATATAATCCTGTATAACAGATACATAGTATGCAGGCTTGCTGGAGGTACGTCATGTAGCTAGGTACATGTAATACGACCCCACACTCCCGCAATCGCTCACGCTAAAGCCCGCGTCTGTATCCAATGGGGTTGGGTTCCTGTCCCTCATTGGTCCGTATTGCCCGAAACGGCATCCCGCCGGGTCTCTCTATTTTCGGAGTAACTCGTTCCAAGTTTGCTGGTTTAAAAGCTTATCAGTGGTAATTACCTATGTATTATTTATTATATTCTATACCTGAATTAAGGAGTCCTGATGTGCAAGTGGATTTAAATCTTCCATGTCTCGATTCGACTTAGCTGCTGATTATTAGGTAGCGTTGAACGAACATCGTTGCCCCCCACGCTGTCACGAATAAAGGTTAGACTGCGGCTTATAATTCCCGCTGTGCCCTTTTTCTTCTTCCTCTCCTCTCTCTTTTTAAGCCAAGCCGTCAAAGGTTCGGCGGTGAGGAGGAGGAGCTACTCCGATGTGACGATCCTACTTAAACCTGGAGGGACACAACAAGTTCGCGCGGGTACACACACACAACGTGTCCTACCTCCAAGGTTAAGGGTACTAAAACCACCACCTCGTTTTTTTTTCTTTTAATTTAACCCGGGACTACGAATAACTAACATAACCTGAACTGTTATTATATTATTTCCTGCTCTATCTATCTAACCCTCCGCCTAATCCCTCCTTCCCCTCCCCTCCGCCTCCTTCTTTGTTGTCGAAATATTTCCACCTCTAGAAGGTAAATATCCCTAGACAACAATAACAACAACAATGGCGGAACCAACAAACACCCCAATGCCAACGGCACCGCCAACCCCACGCTCCACCTCCCCCGCACTCGGCGCCACACGCCCTGGCAGCACCACCCTGAGTCCTCCTCCCCCCAAACATTTCGGAATACCTCTTACGTCGTCGTCGTACACATCCCTGTCCGTGCTAGGGGGTCCGACAACGAAGAGCAGCGGCAGCAGCAGCAAACCCGTGGTGCTGCACATCGGGGACCCCGTCAAGTACAACCCGGAGACGTACGCCGAGTTCGCGAGCCAGTTCGAGGTGGTACGCCCGTCCGCCGACGAGCGCCAGCGGCCCGCCTTCGTCCAGGCCCTGCGCGAGAAACGGTGGGGCGACTTCTCCGCCATCTTCCGCCCCTTTTGGGGTACCGGCGGCGAGATGGGGAATTGGGACGCCGAGCTCGTGTCCCTCCTGCCGGATAGCGTCAGGGTCTTCGCGAGCGCCGGCACGGGCTTCGACTGGGCTGACACGCAGTTGCTGGGCGAGAAAGGTATGTGATAACTCTTCTTTATAAAAGGAGGTAAGCATACACTAATAGCACACAGGCATCGTGTACTGCAACGGTGGCCTGGCCGCTGCGGAGGCCGTATCCGACTTCGCCCTCGCCTTGATTATCTCAACGTTCCGCGCGCTCCCGTATTGCATCTCGTCTAGCGCAACCTCCGAGACTTTCCAGGCGTGTCACGAGAACGCCACCGCGCAATCCCACAACCTGCGCGGTCGCGTCTTGGGGCTTGTCGGGCTGGGGAATATCGGCCAACAGATTGCGCTTAAGTGCAGTGCTGCTTTCGGCATGGATATCATATATTACGATGTCGAACGCAAGCCGCCCGCGCTCGAAACTCGTTTGCATGCCCGCTTTGTGAGCAGCCTCGAGCAGCTTGCGCGTCAGTCCGATTGTGTCGTGCTATGCGCGCCTGGTGCTGCGGGTCAGATTATCACCTCGGAGAGCCTGAGATGGTTCCGACCTGGTGCGCGCCTCGTCAACGTCGCGCGGGGATCTCTCGTCGATGAAGAAGCAGTGGCCGACGCGCTGGAACAGGGCTGGCTTAGCAATGCCGCCCTTGATGTGCACGCCGATGAGCCCAACATCCACCCTAAGTTATTAGCACTTGCGGGAACCAAAGTTCTCCTGACATGCCATAATGCTGGTGGAACTGTCGAGACCCATATCGGCTTCGAGGAGCTCGCTATGCGCAATATCATGGCCGTATTAGCTGGCGGACAAGCTATTACGCCCGTTAACACGCAGTGGTTGAAAAACAATGCCGTGTCGTAACAGGACGAGACTGGATATTGCGGCCGGTTTATACCAGCCAAAAGGAAATACTTTTACGTTACTAAACAACGCAGCGGCCCTGACTGGGCTGAAGGGATACGTTCCCCGGAGGTTTGGTTTCCTCTTTCAGCGAGTATGCGAGCGAACGACTCAAGGAATATCTAACAAACAAAATATCGCGAATTTACTTGAGAGGGATTAAATACCCATAGATGTAAGAAAAAGGAGCATCTGTAGATAAGAAATTCGGGGGGCGGGGGGTTGGGGTTAAGGAGGGTAGGAGTAAAGAGGAGCGGCTCGGATAGGGGTAAAAACGGAAAGGTAGGTGTTTACATGAGGCGAAAGATATACTCCACTTGCCTCTACATGTATGAAATCGGCCATACGAAGTATATATCAAGTATATACCTACGATACAAAGTAGATGAAAATCCTACAATCATGTGGCAATGGGATGGTTTAGTGTGAATACTAATCGGAGCTACGATTTAAATGCTACAATCGGGATGTTTTTGGTAAGTCTACGACGTATGTCAACCAACAGCATAGAAAATACCTTATTATGCAGTCCATTTGCGTAGGGTACTTAAGTGTAAGCTACCTGATGCTACGAGCTGCTACCATGGAGCGTAATGTCCTATAGACAAGATGCTTGAGGAACTATGTACGAGGCCTTTGGTCTTGCAATCCCTTGAAGTCCTCGTGTCCAAACCAAACCACGGAGGAGGCACCTGAAACAGGAAAACAAAGGAAAGAAAACTCTCGAATACAAATTACGTCCCGACCAAACGGCGCGGACCAAGACATTGCCTTGTCGGGGTAGGTAGGTATCCATTACTCCGTTCGCATACCCATGTCACATCACATCATATCGAACCGAATGAAAACTCAACGCAACGCAGTGCAAAAACAGCTAGCTAGAGCTGCGAGAAACCAGAGACACCGAGGCTTGTTCGATGTTAAAGACTTATGCGAGACCTCGCCTTAGGTACGAATTATTAGGACCTGGTCTCTCCTTTTTCTCTTCCCCTTTTTCACGTTCTCTTCAAGATCAGCTTTTCCAGCTTCTGTCGTAATTCATCAAAAGTAGAATTGAGCCTTGCACCAGCGTACTTTCTTCCTTCCTTCATTCTTCTTTCTTTTTTTATTATTCACTCCTTAAAGAAACCTTACTACAGCCAGCCCTACTGCCGACGACGGCGAAAAGAACACGAAGACAAAGGCCTTCAGTTCAGATGTTCGTAGGTAAGGCAAGGTTCTTTCGCCACCTACTTAAGATCACGAGCCTCCTCTTCTTCCTGCTGCTCTTCTCTCGCAGGACCCTCCTCGACAACGGAGCCGATAGCGGTAGCGGTGGCATTGTCGTCGCCGTCGCACGCACAGGCCACGACGCCCTCGGCGCCCCGCTCGGCCACACCCTGGACACCGCCGGCGGCAGCCAGAGGGTACTCGCCGACGGGGTAGCGGGAGTAACTCGGGGGTGGGGACTGGCTGTCCTGGTCACGGTCATACTGCTGCTGGGAGTAGGCATAGCCGTAGCCGTATCTGTAAGCGGGAACGCTCTCGGGGCGCGCGCGCACCCCCGTCATCTCGTGCCACTCGTACTCAGGGGGACTGCCGGAGGCGGAACCGGAACCGGAACCGGAGCCGGGGTTGAAGATTCCAATCGAAGAACGGATGATGCGCTCGCGGCGGGTCGGGGTGTACAGGTACGCGGGGGCCGAGGTACGGCGCGAGTCCGGCGCGATGCCGGAGTCTTGCGAATACACGGAAGAGGCGGGGTACACGCGGATAGCGGCTGAGTGCTGGACGAGGGTGGTGGGCAGAGCGACGAGGATGTTGGGGAGAACACCACCACCATCACCGTTACCGTTACCGTTACCATTTGCCACGCCGGCGGGGAAACGAAAGGCGTCGATGTGGTTGTGGACGCGGAAGTGGTTTCTCACGGCTTTCCTGCGGTTGGATAGGCATGAAACGATGAACAAGCCGCCAAGGATGATAGTGAGAATGGAGCCTAGGATGCTCCCTATGATGACGCCGACGGTGGGAGAATTGCTGTTAGTAATCCTGTCCGTGGCGGCGTCTATCAACGAACCCTCGCTATCGGGGTAGACACTGGTGGGGAGAGCATCCAGCTTGGTGGCCGTGTTGACAGACGATCCGGTGAGTGTTGCGTCGACGATGTACTCCGGAGCATCTAACATAGTGGCTATCGTCGATGCGTTCGCACAACGAAACATGGATCGCACAGGCGTGCCAGTCCATTGATACGTTGCGCAAAAGCCGTAGTAGCTGTCGGTACTATAGGGGGGGATGAGTGTTAGTCTTTATAAGGCATATCGATGAAGTGAGGAAATAAAGAAAGAAATAAAGAAAGGGTTATAGCTTCAACGACTACACAGATGGGGGTGGGGGGAGTATATGCTTCTCATGATAGACTTCATAACAGACTCAAGCATAATATGAAAAGGTAAGGAGTGATGAGAAGGGGTAGAGTAGAAAGGTAGTAGACAGGTAAGTAATTAATAGATAATTAAGAAAGAGAATATAACTTACCAACATCCGACTCCCGAGTCAGAATCGCCACAACCATCAGTCTTGGAAGCAGAGAAGTCGACACACTTGGAGTAGAAAGCCGATTTTGTGCCGGAAACGCAGGCGACGACGTTGTTGGAGTTGGTAGCGCAAATCGCGCCATCTCCGCAGACGAAAGCTTCAGCTGAGCATGATATTTATTGTCAGTAATGATGTGCGGATTTAGAAGTGTGTAATCTTATTGTTGGGAGGTGTGGTGATACTTACGAGAGGCTCCCGCCAAGTAGCCGCAAGTGACATCATTCACCCATTCTTGAGAAGAAACAGCGCGGCGCTGGGGAACATCAAGAGCACGTTGGGTATCAGAAGCCACTCCATCAGGAGCAGGAGTAGGTTCCGGAGTCCATTCGGTGCGAATAGTCTGAGCCGCGAAGCCGGTCTCGCGGGGAAACATAGAGGCGACGGCACTCGATTCATCAGAAGCAGAAGCAGACGACCAGTCCGCGCCGACGAAGCCGCCGGCGAGGCCGATGGCGGCCAGAAGGATGAAAATAAACGGAACGCGCATAGTGGGAAGACGAACCCGAGAACTTGGTGGGTTCACAAGGGGGGATTGTAATACTACCTTCGAGGTTACCTCTAATTGTTCCTTCGGGAAGAAAGAACGCAAAGCGAGAGTTGGGGGATAAGGTTTTGCAGAAGTTTAGTGTGTGGTGCAAGGCAACGCAGAAGCACTGCAGAGGTAGGTATTACAAGGCACTTCCTAGGAAGTAGGATTAAACTGTATTGTAATGAGGTTGTTATTGTAGAAGGGTGTGTGTGTGGAGAAACTAAAAAAGATAAGAAAAAGAAGAAAGGGAAGGGAAAAGGAAATTTCAAATTGAATTTTGAAGGAAGAGATGGTGCGGGATGAGACTTGGAATTACACTGAGTGCCTAGAAGGAAAGAACCCGGGGCTGGTAGTTGAGGGAACAAAAATGGCAAGTAGGGTAAGAGCCAATAGAGCGGCTCTAGAAGAAGCTTAGGGTGACTATACTTGGGTACCTAGGCCATGAGGGGGGATATCGTCAAGGACGATGAGGGTGACGATGGTGGGGTAGGGCGTAGGGCGTAGGGCGTGGATATGCTGGACAGTTGAGTATGAGTATAGTGACACGGGATACGACTAGCTACTGCTCTACAGAAGAGAGGGAGAGAGAGAGGGAGAGAGAGTTTTCAAAGAGCATAAGGCTATAGGCGTTCAGGGGCTATGTGTAACCCCGGCGAACATCTATAGGAAGACGAACAAGACAACTAGTATTATAGCGCCGAGACGTATAGCATGAGACCAGTCTACATCATCTGAAAGGGGTGGTAATCACCTTAGCTTTACTTTCGAACTTTGCAACTAAGCTAAGGTATCTTGAAGAAGAGAAAGAATAGACAAGTAAGTTGACAATGGTCTGATCTACATCCGAGAAGGTGTAAATGTGAAAGAGCCGCAAGGCTAAGCTATATGACATATTAAGCGGCAGCATATTCTGTAATTCCGGGATAGTCGATCAGTGGACAAATCTCAAGTGTGTCGGCTATAGTTATAGTTATTGTCCAGTGCCACTCGACTGTTTTTTATGAAAGAAAGCACAGTATAGTGGCACAAGATATCCGGCTCTAATAAGGCCACGCTGTGTGACTTTCTTATCTGAGTTATGTATTTTCCATTGTCCAGTTTTGACGAATGGTGTGCTGTTAAGAGGGTTGCTTTTCTGGCCGTTAGACTAGAAGATAGCGTCTTTTTTCGTGTTCGTAACTCACAGTTGACGTTAGTCAACTACCGGGCTTTTTTTAAGTGCCTAAGGTAAGTTGTTAATCATTATTTATATACGAGACCTGCGTAAAGAGACAAGTCGTAGTATCGTAGGTTACGGAGGACCATATACGAAGGACGTTGGAAAGTGACCAGATTAAAAAAAGCTGATACTGGCAAAGAAAAAGAGTAACTGGAATATGAATTTAAATAATCGTAGTATTTCTTAACTAGGATATATATATCATGCAACCGCGCCAAGAAACTCAGAGCAAGGTCCAAAACAACATTGGGGAATTCCCACACCTTAAATGGACAGCAGCCACGCCGGTGGACCAATCGGAGCTCCGTACGGGTACGGCGTTTCCGCATCGGCCGAACCCACCGGGAGGGTAGCCAATAAGCGGCCGGGACGGATGCCGCTAAGGGAAGCTCAGGGAGTGCATGTACATCGGTACCTAACCTTACACTGGATAGGTACTTGCACAGGCTAAGACAGATTTGTCAATTGACATGTATATCTATGACCGTTGTTGTCTTTTGTCTTTTCAGGTGGCTAACAGTAATCAAAATTGTTGACTTTGGGTAGAAATTCAATTAATACCTAATCTTGTGAACGTTTAACAATTATCTTTGTGCTGGGTACTTGGATGCATCACCTCATACAAATAGGGCAGTCTATGTCCTACATTAGAACGTGCCAAGCGTCGAACATAATTGAAATCAAAGCATGATGTGTGTAAATATTTAGGCCACTGAATATTCTAAACATGATTTACATGGAGGAGATAAATAAGCCCCATTATTGTCGAGTGTTGAATATCATATATGTGTATCATTAGCTAAGTAGTCGACAGGGGCTGAAATACGAGCAGACTCAATCAAACTGAGGAAGTTGATGGGTATTCCAAAGCACTGGTATTGACCTCTTGAGATAGACTGATCTCCCAGAAAAGAATAAAATAAAGACTGCTGCAAGGATCATATTTCTTGTGTCCGCGAAAGCCCGCTGTTGCTCCTGAGCCTTTGGTATAAGCCAGTACTGTTCCAATACTAAATAACGCCTAGCAATCTGAGCTATCCTATCCTCCCCCGCGCCAATATAATGATATTATTTCAAAAAAAAAAAAAAGATTCATGCTTTTGGCTTCTTTCGAACCAGCCCAGCTCCAAGAACATTGGCCTTAGGTTCTGACTCGGCCTCGGGGCCAACAGATGTGGTGGTCGTACTAGCATCAAGCTTCGCCTTCTTCCTAATAAGGCTATCGCCTAGCGTATTAACTGCTGGAGAAGATAAGACAGATTCACTCGTGGCCTCATCAGCTGAGCGCTTCTTCCTTACCACCCCAGACAAATTGTTGACCGTCTCCTCTGTACTGGATGATGATGCCGTTGAATCGACAGCTGCTCTCTCGCCAACTATCTCCAGTGCCCAATTTTCGCCCATGTTCACCTCTCGGGTCCATCGTGCAGTGCTTAAGACTCCTTGTTCCAAAGTTCCAAACTCGAGATGTAGTAGTAACTCGATGGCTCTCTTATAACTATTATCATTCAAGACGACTTGGCCTCTTCCATTCTTCGGCCAGAAGTAATACGGCGTTTCGACCAACTTTGGGAATTCTCGTTGACGAGTCTTAATCTGAGGCTTCCTGGGGATGATTGGACCGCTTAGAACTTTCTTCGCTTTGTGTTTCCGTCGAAGCTTTCTTGTTCTCAAGCCATTCAGTTTGGATGATGAAGCGCCGGGAGTCGTAAGAGAAGTATTTCCCCGCTGGGTAGGTCGTGGTGTAGTGGGTGGCGTTACGTCGTCGGTTGTAGTACTAAACGAAGCGTTCGGTGTAGGAATGGTGGCTGCGGGCTTCGCGGTTGACGAGCTGGGTTTCGAATCGGCTTTAGGTTCAAAGACAACCCATAGAAAACCGGTTAATCTACCACTGGAACACTCTTGCCGGAATGCCATCATCTCCCAAAATTGATCTAGTGTTTTTGGTGTCTTCCAACCATTCAACAATTTGGCCTTTTCGGCTGTTGATTCCTCTAGCTCCTGAACAAAACGCGCCTTTGGATCATCTGGGTACATGGGTATGAGGGACCTGGGATGAACATTGGTACCAAAGCTGTCCGGGTCGTTCGTGTACGGTGATATCTTCTCGAGAGGATGGTTCAACGTCCAGTTGGATGTTGCTAGACTTGTTCGGGGCAAGAAGGCTCTGGTCTCATAATTGTCTAACCCAGGAATGACCAAGTATCCATGCATGGATTCCCAGGGTTTTCTTACGTCCTCATAGTCGGCACCTTCAAGTAACGTGTTGAGCACTCGACACCACCACTTTACCAAGCCTCTATCGTCTAGTATATGCTTGCCATTATTTTTTACGCTTCCTGCAAAGAGATATTGTGATTGAGCTCGGGCGAACAGGTTTACGACTAGTTGTTTTGACTGGCGTCTTCGATTGGCGACTAAGAAAGCAAGAAAGCAAGAAGTAATCTCTCGAATTGGAGATGGTGTTCCTTTGGGGAGATTCAAGAGGTTCAAGTATCCAGTAGAATCTGCCTTGGAGACGAATATGATAGTAGAGAAAGATGTTGTGTATATGTAGATCTCTAGTCCTAGAACCAAAATTTCTTTTTCACGATGGGCCTCCTCTTTCCCAGCTCCGATGGAGATAGCCAAAAAGTGCTTCTCACAGTATGTTTTTAACGGTTTACTTGGTCGCCTATCTTTGGAATCGCTAGAAGTGTTATTATAAGCAGGAGGAAGACAAAGAGGGTCGGCTATCGTAGGAGGTGTCGAGAGGTGATAGGCGGTAAACTTGCGATCCTTGGGTAGGACTTTGGCAAGCTCTGCGGCGAGAGGGTGAGAATCAACGACGCGATCACCGTCGCGAGTTTGCGCCGTGGTGGCCATTATGAAGGAAGAGGATAGAGAATACGAAAGAAGAAAAGAAGAGAGAGAAAGAGGGAAAAAAGAAAGGAGAAGTATAGAATTAGATTGTAGGCCTTAATTGGCACGTAGAATTCGAGATTCCATATTGGTAAGACTCGCGATATTCACGAATGACGACTTCGTATAAACGAAGACGCGTTTTGGGGGAAGATGGAGATGAAGAAGAAAAGAAACAAGGGTGTACTTATGCAGCTACGGTATATATGGAGCGCTGACGGAATGCATTTAACTAGACCCAGTCGATAAACTGATAAACTGATAAACTGATAAGCGATAGAGTTTGATAGCTGACTGATATTGATATCAAGATCGATCAATACCAGGTACCTAAGCAGCTAAGGTTAGGTACTAAGGTACTTTTACCTTAGATACTTATCTTGGACGATTGATTGGTTAAAAGTTTCTAGCGTCGCGGCCCACCCGAAAAAGTTCCGCCGCAGTTTGAACCTTGGAATTAATTGCGAATTGCGAATTTCCATTTGTACATTTTCGATAATGCGATGAGAAATTCCAGTTCCAACTTATAGCCAATGGCCTCCAACACCTCCCGATCTACTACGAGGCTTGCTCGTCAAGCTATAAGATCCTGTTCGAAGCAGTCTACGGCGTCATCCTACCGCCCCGCCGTATCTTTCTCGACTTCGACAGCCCGCTTGACAGAAAATGTAGAAAATGTAGAGCAACAACAACAACAACGACAACGCCCACGATGGTCGTATACGCCCGAGAGGATGAAGGCGCCCTTCTCGCCTCATATCACAAAGGACCCTAGTCGAAGGATTTGGAAGGTTAATTCGAGCCCAGAGAAGCTAGACGAAGCCTTACAGAGATTTTTGGGACACGAGGGAAGTCGCATGTTGTCGGATGAGTTGAAGTGGTTGGCGGTAACACATAAGAGCTTCGATCAAGGACGAAGAGGTTTCAACGATCGCCTAGCCTTTCTGGGTATGTTGCTTACCTATGTTGTTACTTATTCTGCTTGTGAGAAAGAAATATTCATTAACTTTCCCACCTCAGGCCGCCAAATATGTGTATTCGAATGCACACAGACCATTATCAGCAGCCCCTCTAGCTACAAGGGGCCAGAGAACGATCCTTTCGCGGATAGGCGGGAACCGTTCGACGATCCCGCTCTACGCGGAATCGACAACCTTTTCGAGATACAACCAAGTGACGTATTCGATTACAAAAAGCTAGCTAGGTTAGCTATAGACACCGGATTAACAGAAGTAGTGAGGTGGAAACCGAGAATGGTAAGTCGCATTCTCCTATAGAAACAAAATACTGGTAACTGGCAACTGGTACTGACGAACGATCTCTAGCCGGATAATATTAAGGGATCCGGATTCGACCCTATTATGGCCGGTGCCATCTATGCTATTGTTGGCGCCATCGCGCTGCAGCGGGGAGGCAAGATAGCCAGCCGGATCGTGAGGGAGCGGATAATGAGCAAGCTCCGGTCATGAACAACCCCGGGAATGTAAATTCAGTGTACAAATATCACGTACAATGTATAAAGAAATAAAAAACAAAAACATACCTAACATATCACAGTCGATGTATAACCTGGTGATACCCCATAGATGAATTCATATTCAACTCTTCACCTCATTTACTGAAACCTTTCGATGACTTTACCTGGCAACCTAGAACGTGGCCCATATCCAAGGAGGACCAAACACGTTTACTTGAGCCCTCCGAATAAGTCCTCCTACATCATGTCATAACAACACTCCATCATCAAGGAATAAGACTACATATACGGTAGACAAGATAGAAGGTTTTCTATGAAATCAACCAGCGGCAAGAACACTTTTCTCTTCTTTACGTTCTTCTATTTGGTTATCACTCGCCCTTTAAGAGCCCCTAGGACGCTCTATTTAACACAGCAGTAGGGAGTCACAAGGCGGCTCAAATTTCCAAGATTAATCTATTAGAATGGCATTCTCGCTCATTAAGTCGTGCATTAATATATTGATGTCCCTTTCTGGGCACATGGTTATAACTCCTACGCGCGGCTTAATACTTAAACAGCCGCACCTCCTCTCCATCCGTCGCACCGCGAATTATCTTCCTGTTGCGGAGCGCATAATACACCCTCAGCATCACGCAGCCCACAGCAACCATAAACAAAAGAGCTGCGTTCGTCCAGTGGCCCGTAGGATATCCGAGCTTTGCTTCATCCGCCTTGTAGATCCACACACCTACGATCTGACCCGGCGCACCACCCAAGCCGATGTTCAGAGCGATCGCAAGACCGACCGAAGCGGTACTGAAGATGTTGGATGAAAGCCAGCCCAATAGTGGCGGTATGCAAGCGAACGCTCCTGACGCCGCGACGATCAAACATCCGTACCGTGACGCATACGCATCTTCCGGTAGCACGGCCGACGCCAAGAAACCGACGGCTCCGATCGTGGCCAATGCGGCCGAGTGCAGACCGCGGGCATTAAAGTGGTCGGCCGACCAAGAGGTGAGGATTTGGACAACTGAGATAACAGTTAACTATAAATCCAACGAATAGATAAAATACGAGGACCACTGAGACAGGCAAGAAAGAGAAAAAAAAAAAAAAAAAAAAAAAAAAAACTTACCATAAGCGACAGCATACGGCGGCACAGTCATGAGCTGCGCCTGGAGATCGTGATAACCTAAACCCGCCGTGATGGAAGGGGTAAATAGAGAAAGCGAGCTGAACGGAGTCGAAATGCCGAAATACACAACATAATGGCCCCAAAGCCTCCAGTCGACCAGCGTCGCCTTCGCATCCGCCCACGTCATCGCCTTGTGGTGGCCCTTACTCCCCTCGACGCGAAGCCTGCGCACGGCCAGCTCCCGCTCCGGAGTCGTCAGCCACGCGGCGCCCTCGGGGTAATCGGGCAGCAGGAGCCAGACGAGGAGGGCGGACAGGCAGGAGGGGATGCCCTCGATGACGAACAGCCAGCGCCACGCCGACAGGCCCCCGGCCCCGTCCATGTGCCCGATGGCGTAGGCGATGGCTCCGCCGAAGGCGCCCGCCAGCGTCGCCGACGCCAGGATGAAAGCCACGCGGATGCTGCGCTCCTCGGCGCGGTACCAGAACGTCAGGTAGTAGACCAGGCCGGGGAACAGGCCGGCCTCGAAGACGCCGAGCAGGAAGCGGACGGCGGTGACGGCGGCGTAGGTGCGCACGCCGCCGAGCGCGACGGTCAGCGCGCCCCAGGCGAGCATGAGGAAGGCGATCCAGCGGGAGGGGCGCAGCTTCTTGAGCAGGATGTTGGAGGGGACCTCGAACAGCCCGTAGGCCACGAGGAAGACCATCAGCGAGATGGTGTACTGGAAGTTGGTCATGCCCGTCTCCGTCAGGAGGTCGTGCCCCGTCGACGCGTTCATGATCTTGGCGTTGCCGATGTTCGACCGGTCCAGATAGCACAGGAAGTAGATCCCCGCCGACAACGGCACGATGCGCTTGTCCTGCTTCCAGCGCAGTGCCTTCTCCGCCTCCGTGACGGGGCCCGAGGAGTCGTATTGAACGACGGACGCGCTGGATTCCTAGAAAGGGCGTCAGCAAAAAAGAAAAAAAAAATCGCATTCAGCATAATTGAATTATAATAGAATACAAGCCCGTACATACCTCCTTTGCGCTTTCAACATCGAGCTCCGATTTCTTATCCGCCATCTTGTCTAAGCTTTACAATGTACTTGTAAGCCCCGAGCTTGCACAGAATGACTTTTGCTGATGGGAAAGCTGTTTGCGCGTGGGAGAGGTTAAAAATCCATGTAGGAAGTCGATACAACGAAAAGCGGTGAAAAAAACCCCGGGGAAGGAACAACAACAACAACGGAAGAAGCGTACGACTCTGAATAATCCGTATCTTTGACCGCGCAGGGGGGAGGAAATTGGTGGGAAATCCTACACCGGGGGGGACGCGGGGGTAGTGGAGGTGAAGCTAGCTCGAATGAGGCGATCCAATTTCCGGGGTCTTGGTCGTGGGTTTTGAAGACCCTAGGGCTTGGGATGGACAGAAAAGGCCCGTCGTGTCCTACACGTCGCCAGGACGGGGGCACAAGACAGTGGTTTGGGATTCTTGGTTGGTTAGTTAGACCAACGCGGGGCGAAGCAGCTAGTACTATATCATGCTTCGAGGTGCGGAGTTATAGTTCCTCGGTTGGATGTTCGAGCCCGAGGCCGGTTCCTACGTCGGGAATCTGTCCGGGATTCGAGAGGGCGGCTAGGGTCTTCGGATACTATTTGGCGATTCGGTCCATCTTTGGCCATCACATTGAGATACATGATATTTATCGGACATTAACGCATGAGATATTGCAACTTGCGTTGGTTTATGAAGAAGCCATAGTTTATATTTACTTACGAGGATGTAATCTGAAAGAGTATTAATAGGTACCGACCTTGGGTAATATTTACAATTCCTCACTTTCCGTCCATACGTTCGGCCGGTTCAATTCTATATATGTTAAAATATGTATTGATCTCCTTGTTTCTGGTGAACTCTTGTGGCTTATATATTTCCATATTTCAACATAACAGGTACCTAGATGATCCTATATTCATCATGAAGGTTAATATTCTATTTGGTTATTTGCTTCCGGTTGCTACTTATGCTTATACGCTGGATAGCACCGCACCTTGGCAAGTACAGGATTGCTCCAAATTTGCCTCCTCACTTCAAAGCATAGGTGATGGCGTAACGATCTCAAATTCTAGCTATATACCCCCAAACTCCTTGAACATTAGCAGCAACAAGGTCAACGAATATCCGTTATGTCGCCTATCCGGTAAAGCCCCGTACCCCGGGAACAATTCGGTCATTTTCGAACTCTGGCTGCCTGCTGCCGAGAGGTATAACGATCGATTCCTCGTCGTAGGCAATGGCGGCATGGCGGGCGTCGTCGCCGAGAGCGATATGATAGACAACCTCAACGAAGGATACGTAGTCGCGGGCGGTAACTCGGGTCACTTGGCTTCTGAGAACAACGATGGCAATGGCGCGCCTGGTGTATACTTACCGTATCTACATGACGAGGAGCAGATCAAGTCGTGGATACACGATTCGATAGTACGGTTTACTCCGGCAGCGAGGAACATAACCACCGCGTTCTACGGGAAAGCGCCCAGATACAGCTATTATAAGGGATGTTCAACAGGCGGTGCCCAAGGCTTCGCGTTAGCACAGTTCCATCCGAACTTATTCGACGGGATTGTCGCGGGATGCCCGGGTAATTGGTATTCCCATCTCGCGCTCTCCTTTCTCTGGAACTCCCAAGCCACTCAGGTAAGCCACCAGGTATCAACTCTAGAAGAAGTATGGGTCACGAAGCTAACTGTCACAGGGTCCTAACTCTCTAGCTCAAACTGCCCTTGATCTCATAACCCAGGCTGTTCTAGCAAAATGCGACGCTATTGACGGAGTCGAAGACGGCGTCCTTGAAAACCCCCTGGCGTGTGACTTCGATATCTCGACACTAGCGTGCGAGCCCTCGGAAACCAACTCGGCTACTTGTCTCATGCCAAACCAACTATCAGCTGCTCGTAAGCTCTACGCGGGCCCCGTCGACTCTCGGACCAATGCGTCTCTATACCCAGGGTTCTCGTTTGGAAGCGAAACGGAGTGGGCAGTGCAAGAAGGGATTCTTGCCGACGTATTCTCAATCCCGATCCTACAGAACAGGGTTTTCGACAACTTATCCTACGACGCCTCGACTTTTGACTGGGCCGCGGATGTCGATGCAGTGGACGACAGAGTCGGCAGGCTCATCGACGAGATCAGCCCGGACCTATCCGGATTGAAGACCGCTGGCTCTAAGATGATCGTGTACCAAGGCTGGGCGGACCCGTTCAATGCCGCTACGTGGCCGATGCAGCATCTCCACCAGATCGAAGACTTTTTCGGCGGCGACGTGAGCGACTGGTTTCGGTTATTTATGGTGCCGGGTGGCGGACATTGCGGTTCGGCCTCGAATTATCCGCAGGTCCCGGGAACGTGGCATGCGCTTGAGGCGATTGTGCGATGGGTTGAGACGGGAGAGCCGCCATCCGAGATGATTGGGACTAACCCTTCTGACGGGAACTTGAAGGATAAGACGAGTAAGCTCTGCCCTTGGCCACAGACTGCCCATTTGCGAGGCAGCGATGTAAACGACTGGAATTCATATGTGTGCGAAAGTTGAATTGTTTATCTGGGGTCAGGGGCAACATCTAGATCACTACGCGACTGAGGTCTGATTATCAAATAGACAGCTCTTATAATCATAGGTATCTAATTCTAAAACTCCGTAAACCCTCGGGTCTACCTAAGGGACTGATCACTTCGAATGAGCAAATGACAGTTGATTTTACGCTGTAACGCAAAGGTTATTATGCGTGAGAGACCTATAACAAAAGAAACCCTCAGTCAGATTAGGTTAGGTACCTCCTATCTAACCAAGGAGCCCGACTAATACCTTATGAAGTTGAATTCCCGTTGATTGAGATTTATGTCCTACATCAATAGTATCAATAGTGTAAGGCATCTGGAGATATGTGATCGAGTATCTACTTATGGTGTCAGAGGTGCGTTGTGGCCATACATCACTTGCGAAGATGGTAAAAGTTGAGACATCCGCATAGCTCCAAGTAATACCTATAGCTAAGTTGATTCAAGACGTGTGCTGCTTTTCTGAATCGTCTGGATTTGAGGGATTATGCAACTATCTAAAGTGAGATGCTCCTACTTTGAGTACATGATGCTATTATGTCTTGTGTTAGTACGACTAGCAACCCATCAACTTGTTTCCGTAAATGGTTTCCCGGTTTTGCTTGGCTGCAGCGCCAGGTTACCTGAGATAGCTAACTAATACTTCCTTGAACTACCTCAGGTAAGTTAGGCACACACGTTATGTGTCAGATTTGGGTCGAAACAGTCTAATATTGATTGATTGACTCTTGATAACAACTCAAGGTTGTCTTATTCTGATTTTTTTCTTGCCGTTTGTATAGCTCAATAATGATTTTAGTTACTAGGCAAACCTCCCAGAATAATTCTTTTAGGGAAGGATACTCAGATCGCTTCCATCCGATGCAACAACAACGAAGCGAAGCTGATAAGACCGAGCAGCGCATTGGTAAGTAAAACGGCAAATAATAAAATCGTCTTAAGATCGGTCTGTGTAAACTGTATTACATATACGGCATAATAAAATATAAATCCGTGATGTTTCCTATAAGGTATCTGACAGATACAAACCGCTGAGCCAAAAGTGTATTTCTCATTAACACACTTGCTATTACAGTCTATCTGACCTATGAGTGATATTGCCACTTATAGTATCCAATGCCCAATACCCAATAAATATCATATAAAGATGGACTGCGAAGAATGCCCTGTATTCAATCCATATCAATTTGCCGCTTAAATTAGATCCGTTATTAAATACGACGTAAAGACCCTTACTCCCCGTGGCCGTATACCATATACTTCATCGGTTGATTCAAGAGTTTATAAGTTGCCTCTCAGTCGAGAGTACAGCTGTTAGGCCTTGCCAAGGTTAAGAGGGCTGACCAGGTAGGCAGTCCACGCACTGGTGTGATTGTTACAGACGAAAGGGCGTCCAACAACGCTTGTTAAAATGACGTTTCCCTCGTCCTTACATTCTGGGTCGCCGTGGGCGCGGACTAGGTAAGACTTGTTAGTAACCGTGGTCATTGACTTCGTCTATAGCTGTTGATATGACGGCGCCTGAATCCAAGTAGGGAAGAATATTAACTTACAAACCCATCCGCTATTCATGTAGAGGTACATGGAACTGAAAGGGTCAGCTTGTCGTTGGCAAGCACCAGTCATCGACTCTGTAACGGTACTAACTCCTTGGTTGTTGGCCAAACAGCCTACCGTAGAGAACGTCCTCATATCGCCCACGTAGGGGTCAGATCTTGGAAGGGGCCCTCCTTGAGCAGTAGCTGTGAGAGCAGCCATGCCAGCGACAACGGAAGCGGAACGCATTGTAAAATAGCAATCTTGAATGGTATTTAAGATGGCTGTCTTGGATACTGATTTGTAGATATATATGCTCAACTCTATCTTGTCCGGAGAGATTTCGTGAATTTATTATGAAGAGTGACAGACTCTAGAATAAATGTCAGCCTATATCATAGAGCTTCCAGGTGTTAGGGATGACGAACTTCTACAAGCCATCATGGGCCTTGAAAAATAGCTGACCTAGTCGTAATAGCTGTGTATGCTCATGATTCCGTCATGCTCGAGTAACTGTCCTTGTAGGTAAGGTACGCAGGTGTAGGTATAGATACCTTAGGTACCTACCTATGTATCGTACCTATGTAAGTGAACTTACTGATGTAGTAGTATAAGGTATCTTAGAGGTACCAAGTAAATATCTCTATAGGTATCTTAGGTAATGAGCTACAGGGCGAGGCCCCGGGGAATTGGAAATAGTACTATTAAAGTTCTTGTCCTATGAAAAACATCAGCTCAGCAAAGTTAAAGAGTCAAATATCTGAATAGAGATTGCCTACTCGCATGACGTGATGGTCTAAGCAAATATGGACCATTTGCCAGAGCTTGAGTCAGTCCAAACATAGGTAGGTTAGGTAGGTACGATATGCAAAACATAAAAAGTTGCCTAGGTCTTTAAGAGTAATTAAATCTTTAGACTTGCGATCTGAGTAAGAAGTCTCTGATCCAAATGTTTGGTAAGTTAACAATCTATTACAATCTGTTATAAATTAACATTAATGACAATGTTAAAAATTAGACGTGAATTGATTATATAGAATTATTACAGACTTTGCAACAGATCGAAACAATCAATCTCTTTGTTAGCTTGTTCTTGTTTTATATGTAAAATTGGTGATGTGATGCGATGCGATGTAAGTGGACGTGACGGATGTGATGTAACCTAATTCAGGTACCAATGATGTCAAATGTCAACGTTGTTGCTACTACCCATTTAGTGCAATTTCCCGATCCTAGCTCTTTCCTGCCGCCAATTTGTTCTCCCGGCGTGTTGAAGCTGCTACAGGTGCTACAGATGCTATTACAGGTGCATGAATTAGATCCTGCCTAGAGGTTGGTACTTGTACCTAAGCTTTTCGCAAACCTGTAAATCACCGACATTCATCAACATTAACTCTGTAGTATCATCAACTCAACTTTTACTCCTTGGAGGAGACAAATCTCAAGTCTCCTTGTCCGCCGCTCTTTTTTCTCATTTTTATTCTCCCTCTCTCTCTCCTAGTTTCCCCTTAGAATGTACCATATCGGCAATTCGACATTCTTACTTCGCAGTCATATCTTTCCGACCGATCGAGCAAGACGTTAGCCACAATGCCTGGCGGATTAGAAGCATCCCGTTGGGCATCGGCATCGGCCCCGAGCAACTATCGCATAAACAAGTCACACGGTAACCGCCGCCGCCGTTCTTCGCGAAGCTCGTCAAGTCTGCCGCCCTCGACGCCCTCGACAAGATCGGCCCCGAGATCGAGATCCGACACTTCCTTTACCCCACGCGACTCGACCGAAGACCCACCTCCACCTGAATACGAACTTTCACGATTCCTCAAAATCGTGGCTCGTCTCAACTGGAAAATGCCATTCCTTAAGGAGGGATACCGCATGGCTATAGATAGTGCCGACAAGCCACTGGCACAAGTCGAAGCTTGCGAGATACAATTCAAGTTGGACTTCCACGAATTTTACATGCTTATCGAGCGAGCCCTAGTCCGCTTGATGGGCATCTTCGGAATCATGGTGAAGAATCATGGTGCTGTAATTAACGGCGTTTTCACACTATACGGCAGCTCGGAGAGCGGTCAGCATCAGTACCACGCAAACGTCCTCAGGGCGCTCGAAGATCCAAGGAACCCGCTCAGTGCCATCTTTGGGGTTACTGAAGTCCGGAAGCAGTTAATGCAAGCTAAAGACCTCCGCAACCGCTGGAAGAATATTGACGAGGCAGACCCAGCGTCGCCTCCGCCCGCGCCGCTCTCGGCCTATAATCTTGAGCTTATCGTGCAGACTATTCTCGCGGCGATCGAGCGCGCTCATGCTTTCACCGTCGAATATGTTGTTGCGCGCGAAGGCAAACCCATGAATACCTCTAGCGACACGGGAGAGAAAGACTGGGAGTTTATCGTGGATGCGATGGATTGGGAAGCAGTTTGATTGTTGATTGATGCATTATAGCATGGCAAAGCATTATTTGGATTCCCTTCTTGTTTTTTTTTAATCAAAGTCCTAGGCATACAAGTTATTGGCGTTTAGGTTGACGATATTGACCATGGTGTGATACCCGGACCTATAGGATAAGGTATCCTTAGGGACTCAGCAGGATTTCTTTGTACCCTCGCATCTTTTGTTGCATTAGTTAACCTCAAGTTCAACAAGCTCGTTGAACACCAAACCTAATAATTCATACTAAGTACCTAGGTACCTAAGGTAATTTACTTCCAAGCCTGTTAATCACAACGATGAGGTGCTTGACTCAGAATTACCATGATACCAACCTGGGCTTATGCCCGCATTGTGACCTCTCGTGACCATGGCAAGCTCCAATAGTGTGTCACCTACCTAGAACGTGACGCGAAGCTTCAGATTAAATCCGGGGGTATGGTACATCTTGTACATCTAGCATCAGGGGATCAGGGGTCGTCTTGTAGGGCTGTGGATTACAAGGTAAAGTTAAGCCAATAAAGTGTTATGGCTTACCATTAAACCCGCCAGGTAGCCCCACCATCAACGTCAGAGCAGCCCAGTGCCCACTCCTCTTGTCTTGTTCTTAAACGCGATAAGGTTGATAACCACCTACCTGACATGGCGTACCTACCTGATACCTTGTAAGACCCCTTCAGTACCTAGACCTACCTATACCTACTTGGTAACCTTGAGCATCATTCCCATTCCCATCCCCATCCTCATTCTCACTCCTATTCCATAAATACCTAAACAGACCTAATGATATCTCTTCATCATCTTACCTTTCATCCCCATTACCGTCAATAGCTCTATCACGGCCTTTTCCTAAAATATGGCGCCGTCTACCACATCTCTGCGCTCTATATTCGCTTATGCGAACAACTTCGTCTCCCAGTTTCCGCTTAATATTCCAAACATTCCGAACCCGTTGGCGATTCTTAGCCCGCAAGTTCCTATCCATACCGACAGTTCCGTCACACCTTACGATCCTCTAACAGGCACCCCAACCTGTCCTATCAATGGACCCATAAGCTGTCACAACACTTCCGTTGCCGATTCTTGCTGCTTTATCCATCCCGGCGGACGTCTACTACTCACGCAGTTCTGGGACGAGAAGGCCCACGTTGGAGGGAGCGAAGAGGACTGGACATTACATGGACTATGGTTAGCTGATACTCCATCTCTCTCTCTTCGTCGGATATTTACCGTGTGTGTTGCGGCCAGCTAATGACTCCTGTTCTTTTCTTATCGCAGGCCGGATCTCTGCGACGGATCCTACGACCAATTCTGTGGGATGGCGCCCCAGTTTAACAACATCAGCAAGGTGCTAGAGCACTACGACCAGGCCGACCTGCTCGAGGATATGAATCGTTATTGGATTGCCAACTAGTACGTCTTCCAGAACACAGAATATACCTAACCCTACGATGAGTCGAAACCATCCCGTAACAGGTACCTTAGGTACCTAGCGCATTAGAAAAGAAACAACAATGTTTGCTGACGTTAGATGAAAAGCGGCACGAACGACCACCTGTGGGCGCACGAGTACAACAAGCACGCCACGTGCATCAACACGCTGGCGCCGAGCTGCTACGGCGACGACTACGCGCCGGGCCTCGAGGTCGTCGACTACTTCGTGCGCGCGTTCAGCCTGTTCAAGATGCTCGACACCTACCGGGCGCTGGCGAGCGTCGGCGTCGAGCCCGACTACAAGAAGACGTACCCTTTGGCCCAGATCCAGTCCACGCTCGAGGGCTTCAGCGGCGGGAAAGTCATCCTCAAGTGCACGGGCAGGCACCACAACGTCCTCCACGAGGCCTGGTACGTGTACTTCGTCAAGGGCAGCTTGCAGAGCGGCGACTTCGTCCCGGCTAAGGATAGCTTCAAGGGCAGCGAGGGGAACTGCGCGGCTCATGTGAGATATCTGCCTAAGCGCCATAGGTGAAGTGTACCTACCTAGGCTACACTACATCATCATCTAGTTATTTTGAATAATTGTCTATGCATAGTTTTGAGTTCGGCGTTTGGGGTCTAGACATACAGACATGTTTTGGATAATATGGGGTAGTTACATGAAGTTGGTCCAATATCCTTAGCCTTACGTTATGCGGGTTATGTTCATAGGTTAAACATAGGCATGCAATTCATTTCGAATATATTCGACACAGCTAGTCTCACCGCCAAAAGGGCTCAATAGACGTGGATTGTATCAAGTCTTGTGTGGTCCCTATACCCGTCTCCCAAGCGGAAGAGCTATTCGAACTTAAACACAGCTAAACCTTGTCACCTTGCTAGAAGTCGCCGAGACCTCCCAAGCCCGCGCATAGTTTAAGGTCCGTACTTAGCTCTAGGCGGTTACTCTATTGAACATTATATAAGTGCTAATGGCTTGACTATGAATGCTGCAGGTGCTCTAGAACGCGTTGCTATATAAGACCATCGTGACTTATCTTATTATGCCATAGAAGTGCATCGCTCGGCTTCAAGGCTATAGCTTCTTTAGATTAGGCATCCTGGGCCATTGCTATGCCAGACCTCATGATGGATAGTATCTATGTTATCATATACGTTGGTGTCATCTACTATCCAACTACTTGGCCAAGTTGAAAGTTCTAGTTCTGATGTTTTAGCTTTGGTTCATAGGTACATATCTTTCCGATTATACGGCACGCTGTGGACAAGCATAAAGCAATGACTGCTAAGGAAAGATAATATGATAGAATGCATTTACTATTTGAAGTTTACCTAACGTTAACCGCGGTCCGCTTGCGTGTTTACTTCAGGGGAACACCTGCGAGGCTACTCTGAGCGCAAAGGGACGACTCTACAATCTTTAGTCTTGAAATTCACGAGTTGGACACCATAAGTCCTATATATTCAACTGTATTCTTCCCTCGTTGGTCTTCATATCCCTCTTCGATAGATAGTATCCCGATCCTCATCCGACATGCCGAAACTAATAACTCTTTGTCTTGGATGGGCTATCTCGCTCTCACCCATAAGCAAGGTTTAGTTAGGGGAAGATGCACGTCGAAAGTCTAAAAAAGGGGGATTCGAGTCATTAGACATACAGCTCTCTCCATACCCAATTGTTATTTTCTCCTAGTCATCGGTCAAGGCTGCTGTGGATACAGGTAGGTTAGGCTAGGTAGACAATTCGCGACGACCCATTCTTCCACCCCTTAATACGGTTGCATGCCGAGGTCAACTTAACAACCTACTAGGGTAGCCGCTTACGAGGCGAGAAAATACCTATATGAGCATTAGGTCATGGATGATAGAACATATTTTTTCCATTCTTACATTAATAAAAAACCTCGGGCCCCTCAAATAGTTGTCGAGAACGCACAACAGAGTCTATACCCCGGTGATGAGCTCTATAACATTAACATGTTGTTTCAGAACTTCACGTCAACCCAACGCAGTGTCATAGACAATGTCAGATCTGCTTTACCTTCTGATCTTCTTAAATCTGAGGTGCTACGCGATCGTTCATAGCATCGATATTAGCTGAGCTTCCTGTGAGGCTATATTGAAATATCAGGGACCTAATAATGAAGTATTATAGGAGGTAGGTAGATGCCATAATTGAGGGGTCAACTTTACAGAAAACTTTTGTTCTTCTCTCTTCGCGCTATATCGAATTCGCTTTATAGTCGACCTATGTATACCTAACCTACCTAACCTACCTATCTACGTCATCTTAAATTGCGGCTTAATCCCCGCATCGACACGGACGTCGAATAAAGCTTCCTGCGTTACCTACCTGCCTACTTGAGCGGAGCAAACACGACGCGGGAGTCAGAGGAGGGGGAGGGACATAGGTTAGGGGAGTTGTAGGCTTTCAGATGCAAGCCACACCTCCCTTAGCTAGGTACCTACCTACCCCGTTCGCAAAACCTCGTGTCCGTCGTGACCTAACTTATTAACCTACTATCTAGGCTATTTAGATACCCTAGGTACCTAGGTATTATACCTACCTGGTTAGATGGAGGGGGATCCATACACTGGAGGTAGCGCTCCTATATGGAGCAATCACCTGCCTATCTGAGTAAAGATTGGGTTTGCTGGGCCGCTCGTTCGTGAGGCTCTCTCGACCCTAAGAAAGGGTTTTTATATTGTTTGCGGGCGTATGGTCTAGCCATGTCTCGAAGAGGCATGTGAAAATTTTTATTCTTTAAAGAGGGATGAGTTGAAGGAGTCATACATATCGTTCTTCCTCTTGTTTTTTTTTAAAAAAAAAAGAAAGAAAAAATAAAAGAAAAGAAAATCATCAGTTCTCAGAAACATTAGGTATGTGACGAGACAGCCGGGCGGCATGCGTTTATATCCACGTGCATTGAAACATTGTTCGCTACGACGTGATGCGCAGAGACAACAGCTTTAGGTATGAATATATTAATTCCGTGAATTCATGCGCCATGGAAACTTGAAATCGTACCATGTTGCAGATAAAAAGACAGAGACGTTGATGATGCTTGCAAAGCTATGTGTTGGTGGTTGATATCTTACGAGAGTTAATATACTTGGATGGAAGGAGGGGGCTATTGGATAGGCGGTGAGGAGTACATTACATCGACATTTACATCTACATTTACGTCGACATCCATCCATCTATCGACATGCAACATCAGCATGGACATCGCGATACCATGAGCGTTGCGATGTGCGGGAAAATAGTGCAACAAAATCTTCACAATACTACCTACCTTATATACTAGTCTCTTCTAGTTTAACCGCCCTGAATGGGTACCTACCTGGTATGCAGTAGTAGTAGACAGGGTAGACTATAAGCTCGAACGAACTGGGGATAGTATGCCTCAGTTAAGCTTAACTCTCGTGCGATAATATGTGACTTGGAAGCACGACTACATCATGGGGTGTAGCAGAAGCGGGAAGACATCATTTTCTTTTTCGGGAGCGCACCGCTCAAATGCCGACAGAGCGCCACCAAATTGATTATTGGCACCTTTTCCTCGCTAGCCCTTTTTATGAGTTGGTGGTGTGGGGGCGCGATGTTTTATTGATCGACGGTTTGCTGGTGAAACATTTTGGTAGAGAAGCTGTTATGAGATTGGTTGACTGCGTTCCCGCGTTGTGACCCCTTTACCTACTATAGTATTTCATTTCGACCAGTCATAAAAGTCTTTGAGGTAAGAAATCGCGTGCTTTTTGGCAACAACTCAGCAACGATAACTGACGGACGTAGTAGTATAGTATACCTAAGGTATGTTTGTTAGTTATCTTAAGTAAATATGAGGTAAATCTTCAACTTCGCCTTCCAAGGAAAATTAAATAAAAGGTCTAAAAGTAAATTCGTCTCAAGTCTAGCAAGATTAGTGCTATACTTCATGCTTCGGCGTTTATATGAATGAGCCGATGTATTAACAGTTTTCCTGCTAGTGGGATATAAAATAAAAATATACGGCTTAAGAGAGGTTAGTACCCTAGGTAGTCCTCTTCACGAGGAATGATCAACAGCGTAGGCTCAAGCTTGCTGTTCACTCACTGGCTGCAGAGCCTGCAGAAACGCTGCATGACTTTTTGCTGACTCCGCCCTACTCCACATACAATGCCGTTGCTTACCCTGGAATTGGCTGCTAGATTCTAGCCCTAGCCAGTAACGGGTCGGTATTTCATGTTACCTGCAGTTACCTGGAGTGGAAGGATGAGGGCGCCCAGTCCAAATGAACCTTACCAAGTTACATCGACGATCGTCAAGACATTTAAGGGACAGCCCCGCGTTGAAGTTCTTGCAACGCTATATGTTGTAGTAGGGGTTGTATTGTATTGTACGTATTGAGTATCCCGTTCTGGTTGGATCACTAGGTAACGGTTGTACCTAGTGGTCCTATCGACATGCCTCTGGGAGGTGTAGTTCGAGATGCAAGTTGAATGTTCGGATAAGGTTACATACCTTATTGAAGACTTCATGGTGTGCAGTCATGAGCGTTACGTTAAGGGAACCCTGCTCATCAAACGTGCATATGATGAAGCGTGCCACACTATACGGGTCGCACTTCTGGTGTATCGGTGGATTGCCTTAAAGTGTGTTATACTGTACAGTAGTAGTCCGTACGGATGGGCTCGTCCACTAAGCTGTACGAGTTCTAGACGTCGATAATGGCGGCACCCGTAAATATTTTCTCGCAAGCGTCTCCATATTGTGGGGTTCGTTCAAGATTTTGGGATCTCGTGAGAGAGGGGCAAACCAAGAAGAAAATATGAATCTCCTATACCTAGTACCATACTGACCGGACTGACACATTTACTAGTCGGTTGAACTTGTCGGTGGCTAGGATGATTAGACGTAGTAGTATATTAATTGCTTCTCTCTGAAATCGATTATCGAGTCAGGGAAAGGAATCATTGGCGAGTAGTCCGCCACCCCGCGGCCTTAATGCCGACTCTTGCAGCCCCATGCTTTAGGTAATGATGTCGGCTACCTAAGCTGGCCGTACCGGGCTTTTGCATTGGCTATAACTTCCAAAGCTAGGTGTTATAATTGGCAACCAAACTGTGAAAAGTTCCCGACGGTAAGACTGGCAACTATGAGGTATTATAATGAAGATGGCGCGTCCTTGGTTTTCCACGGCTCTTGGAGTCAACGACAAGCATACCGAATGTTGATGCCTAGAAACCACGCGAAACAGTGGGTTTATAAGAGACGCGATGTGATGTGGTATGTAATTGTTAAAAATCTAATAAGCCAAAGTCATTCGTTCCAAGCCGCGCTCCTGATGTTTGCGCCAAGCAATTTGGGGGCAGGCTGCCAAGTGCTTAAGAGATCTTCAAATTGAGGGATTCCCAATCCCTAAGGATCAGTGGTTGACTTTATGGGTTCCATTAGTACCTAATGATACTATCTTTATCGACAACCTTAAACACAACTGAGGTAAGCAATATTGACGCGTAAAGCCACCTGCACCAGGAGGACTACCAACGGATGTCAGGATGTCAGCATTGCAGCATTGCAGCAGCTGATATCCATAGCGTACTATGTAGATGTACCTAAGAGGTAGGTATGCATGTATGCACGACACTTAGCTGGACTAGGCATCTACCTAGGTAGTTTAGTGCAGCTGATAATAGGACGACTTTCAAATAAGTTTGTTTGAGGTTTGGCGAGAAAATCCAGAGGGTGGTATCAAGGTATGAAAAACATAACGTATGAACTATCATGAACCGAATTGCTGTGTAAGGTCTAGTGTAAGCCGGGTCGGTTGGATGGCTGGCTCGGTATTAAGAGATAACCCAATCAGGCACTATATAATATTTTTTGTTAAAGCGTCTAGTAGAGGTACTTCATATGATTTGGTATTTTATACATTAGGTACTTCCCTGAGTGCATTTTGTTCGCAAATTTGAATAGGCTTCTTGTTGGAAATGAGATTTCGTGGGTCTTATATGAGCTAACGGGAGTTGATACTATGTAAGAATTAGGTTGGTCTGAAGCGCCCGGTTGGCCCGAAATAGAATATCGGGGTTAAAATTGTGCTGTACCTTTCCCATACCTTAGGTACCTAGGTACAATACCTGTAGGCTGTAGAACGGTAGAGAGATGCATGTGTCCAGTGCTTCAACGTTCTAACGTTTAGCGTACTGTACCTACCCGACTTGCCCTGCTTTGCCAGCCTTCAGCAAAACGAGGCACCCTGGCCGGCCTGGCAGGCAAAGCGGGCAAGGCAGGTACCATTCTTTATATTAGGTACATGGACCAGCGGACTAGGTACATACTGTACCTTTATACTGTACCGCGCCTTTCCGGCTATTGTATTGTACTGTACTTGGATTGTGGCCTCATTTCTATTCGCACACAGAGTATGTGGGACCCCTGTTCTTGTACTTAGGGTACTTTACAAGGAAACCCACTTGGTCGATCGCAGGTTCTGGCGGTACAATAGGTAGGTACATTAGGTACATTAGATCCCATAGATGCTTTCGTTCACACTGCACCGTCGTATTGCGTTTTTGTTCCTTTTCTCCCACCAAGCGTTTCCCGTCCTAACTAAATCCAATCCCACGATCTCCCACATCTCACACCCAGCCTACAGTTTTCGGTAGTCTACCCGTGGGCCGTGTTGAGTAGCGAAACGATACATTTTTTTTTTTTTTTTACTAAAAAAATTTCTCACTTCAATCCAACCCAGTTACAATTATTTCACGTTTAACTGTTGGGATAACTACCTATCTAAACTATAGCGCATGAAGGCATCAGCCTTCTTAACCTCTAATTATTCCTTTTTTTTTCTTTTTCGCCTCCCCCCCGGAAGAATTTCCTATGACTACTGCTCTGGAACGGTCGGTAACGTTTAACCTCACCTCGTCCCTATCCTCCGTTCGAATTTTTTCGCTTCAAACAACGGAGGAAAGAGAAATAGGTGTCGTCGCCCTCGGTTGACTGGCTGGCTCGGAACAAGCTTTCGGGTCGGGTCAGCAGTACGCGAGCGTATGCCTCGCGCTTCAGCATCGGTAAAGCGACAGCACGGTGCTTCGATCCCTCGAGATACCAGACAGCACGAGAATGGCTTGGTAGGCCCAGGGAAGCGCGTTTCTAAGCAGAAGAGCCTGGGCCATATGAATGGAATCGCGAAGCAGCCTGACGACGATGCGGCTGTACCCCCTGTCCCACCAACACCACCCCCCTGTGCGAACGGCTACTCCAAGCAACCACTCGAAATGCCCGTAGAAAACAGGATTACCGAGTCGCTTAGAAGGAGCTCGCTTGGTGGCTATTCCGAGTCCTCCTCTTCGGAATCGTATAACTCTCAAGTCGGAACTATCGAGGAGAACCACCGCCGAATCGATGTTAACGCCACGAAAAATTCAAATGTTCATCGTGATCCCGGCCCACTTGGTGTCGACTTCGCTTTGACCGTACTTCGGTCGTGCCCCTTGCAAGACACTATTGCTATCCTTATCATCTTGATGCAAATTCCTCCACTGGCTTTGTCTTGCATCTACGTGCTTTTCACCCTGCTTACTTTCGTGACCAGCAACGGCCTGACATTCAGCGACGTATTTGAATGGAATCTAGGTGCTCCTTCTTTGGCAACCGTCATCTGCGTCGATGGGATTGTGCTCTTGATTTGGCTGTTCCTATGGGGTCCGATTCAGCATGTCATTCTCGACCTGGCACAGATGGTTATTGCTTTGGGGTTGGGCGGCGGTTCCAGTTCAAGAGACGGCGGCTCCATGAAAAATACTCTTATCTGCTTAAGTATGATCCTGCTATCTCACATCCTGCGCCATACGAAGATGAAGTACTCCCCTATAGGGTACCTCCTTGGTTCGAGCCGATTCATGATGCCTGATCTGGATGATCCGCTCGAATCTCTAGAGTCCATACGCGGTTATGACAAGGTCCAGACAGGATGGTTCGGTTGGATTAAGAGCATATTGGCAATTCACATTTTGACGCAGGGGCTGGTTAAGTACATACGCGATTGGTATCTGAGGCGGGAAAGGCGCGATGTCCTTGCTCAGAACGCCGCCGATCCTGAAGCAGGGAAATCCTACACCGCAGAAAACGACGGCGGATTTTCGACCCCCGATAGCGATACCGCTTCTCTTCAAAATTCAACAGCGTTAACTACAAAAAAGAAAAGAAAACAAAGCGCTCAGATTCGGAATCGACAACCGCTCTGGGCAGCTCTAGCGAGCACTAAGATAGTTGTTGTGAAAGAATACGAACTTACTCATGCTGCAGCAGAGTCTGCAGGTTCTAATGCTACTGACATTCATAACTTGGGGAATGCCCCTTTCAACACGGAGCCTGAGCAGATCTGGATTACGTATGTTGGCTGCGACGAGGTTTGTTTTAGCACTAGTCACTTCTTTAGCACACCCGTGCCTGAGGTTGCGCAAGACGGATCGAGGATGGATATTCCCAAACCCTTCTATGTCAGAGTTAACAATGCAGTTTGGCAACCTACTCGGATGTTACCAGTTCATGATGCTGAGGCAGATGCCAGCCAGGGAACTCGGTGGAGCGGGGACATTTACGGGCTCACTCCAATGTCGAATTACGAGTGCGAATTCGTCAGTGCTACGACACATGAGATTCTGTTTTCGACAAGTGTTAGGACAACTCAGGCTCGGTCGACAGACGTGGACTCTAGTACTTCGAAACCCGCTGGCCAGCGTTCTCTTCGGCCCGACTCGCCCATTACAACCCTCAAGACGTCGATTGCTGCTGCAGAAAGCAAACTCGCGGAGGAAAAGGCCCGACACAAGGCTTTGCGCAAGGAGTTCCATCGGAAAGCGAATGCTATGAAGAAAGATAACGAAAAACTCTCTGCGGCAGTCCAGTCAGCTGGCACGGGTGACGACAAGTTGCGCCAGAAGATCCAGCAGAATACTACCCAACACAAACAGGCCGAGCAGGCAGTCATCAACCTCGAGGCGGAGTTAAAAGAGTTTGCATCCATTCCCGAATCTTTGAAGTCGGTCTGGAAGGCGAAGCAGTCTGCATGGACTAATGAGAAATCCAAGTACGATGGCGCAGTGGCTGCGTTCAAGAGCTTCAAGGCATCCGTGGACCGCGGGATCAAGGCTCTCCAAGAGGAAAAGACAGGCCTCCAAGCTAAGCGTAACAAAATTAGCAATCGCATTGCCAAGGTCGATGGTGAGCATGCACGTATCGCCGATGCTAATGCTCGCGGTCTTGACGAAGCGGAGCGGCGGCGGCAGGCGCGTGAAACGTACGAGAACGACATCGCAAAAGTGGAACAGGATCTCAACGCCAAGATCAACGAACTCGAAGCTGCTATATATAATAAGGAGCGAGAAAACGAGATACTAAAAACCCAGTTAGAGTCGCTCCATACACAGCAAGCAGCTTATGCCTATGCGAACTCGTACGATTTCTCCGATGCTTCTGCTCCATTTTCGTCTCCCGGTTCGGCGCCGCAAGTCACGACAAATGCGACCAACTCCGGTGCGTACGACGCCACAGCTGCTTGGAACAACAGCCTTTACACTTCGTCCCTTTGGGGTCCATCCCCCCTTGCTCCGGGGTTTGCGCCGCAGGGAACTGCTGCGCTGAATGTTCAACTACCCGTGGCCAAGGCGCGTGGGCGTTCCTCGTCGATGCTCAGTGATGTATCTGGCTTTACGCAAAGCAGCACAGCCGACAACGAAGGGCATAGCACGGTTAGGGGAAGCATCGGGAATCTTGGAGCGTCTCCAGGCCTCGAGTACCCTACGCCTACTGGACCTCGCAGAAATGTCAACGGCGAGATAATGAGCGACGGTACGGGTAGCCCTAGCAGCGGTAGTATTGGAACTGGTAGTGTCGGAGATCCGATGAGCCCCGGGCCTTGACGAGATGGTTGTAGGAGTGCTTTAGTTGTGCTGTCAGCGCAATTAGGGACTGTCTTCAAGAGTCTGCAGCAATGTGCTTTCTGCCGCATCCATTCGGATTGAGTAGATTGGATTAGGCAATGATAGGCGTTTTTCTTTCACTTTACAACCTGTTCCAACAGCGCAACTTTATGTGACGTGATGATTTTTGTATGAAGCCTAGCTCTGGTGTCATGAATATCCGATAGGTAAGGTAAAGGTATCTTGTAAGACATATTTCGCAAGCGCGCATAACTTAAGATGCAGATGATTTTGGCATCTACGGTATTCTAACCTAACGATATTTACTTGAAATGATGTATGTTTATACTATAATATGTTTGTTTTATGTGCTCATATGCTTTGAGGTAATAAAAAATGCGGTCAAAGGTACCTAGGTGGGAAAGGGGGGAGGGGGGGTTGATGTGAACGGGATTTGAATCGCGTTAGCGGACATATATGTACATCCGTATTCGTACCTAACTATACCTGACATCTTTGCAGATCTTACTTTGCGCCACGCACTAAGTTAGTTAAATGTAAAAATGTGGCAACGCGATTAGTGAGATAAACTGCTTTTAACAAGTCTTGACTAATCCGTAAGCCTTCAGCAGTTAAAGTTAAACCGGAATTAGGGATTCGTAAATTCCTAACGCCGTTTCTTTTCCCTTCCCATTTCATTTTGAACTTTGCAATTATTGCGACCTTCTACTTTATACCACGCTCATAGTTCATAGCTCAGTAAACTATCGTTAATACGCTACCTATTCCTGAAACCCGCCAACGGGAATCGTTTTCCATCTATTCCGGAAGCCCTGCCTCTGCTATTTGATACCTACCTCTGGGGAGTAACAACGTCACACTTGGCATACATGTCCAGATGGACCTCGACTCAACTGGTTCGAGACAAGCTGTGACTTTAGCATCCGGTCCTCGAAAATCGGTTCCCTACGGCCAAGCATGCACTAACTGTTCCAAGGCTAAGTGCAAATGTATAAGCCGTGTGGGCGCAGGTTCGGGTTGCGAGAGATGCCAACGGCTAGGTAAAGAATGCATACCATCCATCAGCGTCCGGAAACGTGCAGCAAAATCAAAAACAAAAACAGACAGGACTGCGCATCTTGAAGAGAAGCTGGATGATTTAGTTTCTATACTTCGGGCCCAGGCCGTTGTTAACCCCCCGGCGTTAGGTACGGATACCTCTTATAGGCCTACATCCAACAGCGGACTTCCTAGCTCTAGCGCTAGCGTTGGTTCTAATGCTAATGCCGCTACCACTACCAATGCCGCCCTTATAGGGGTCGTGCCGAATGGTAACAACTTGGCTACTACTACTACTCCTACTGCTGCTGCTGCTGCTACTACTACTGCTGCTAGCCATACCTTACCACTACCGCCACCTGTTATTGATGCCGCTTCCTATTCTGCAGCCTCATATCCCACTCCTCCTTCTGTCGCCTCTTCTCATGATGGAGGCCTCTCGCCCGCTGAGGCTGAAGACACCTTGCGCGTGTTTCGAGACCAATTTCTTCCCTTCTTCCCATTTGTATATTTACCGCCAGATACCACGTTAGTATATCTATCCCCTGTTTATGCGTGTTGTATTTATCTAGACCCATACCTACCTACTCAGTCATGATTCGCAACTATGACCATTTCATTTATATACCGTAATCGTTAAGCCAAGCTAACGTTGACGTTTCAGGGCTGCTCAGTTGCAGCTAACCAAGCCTTTTCTATGGCTGAATATAATGACCATTTGCTGTAAATCTCAGCCAAGAAAATCAGTCTTCAGTAAAAAGATCAAGGAGTATCTAGCACAGAAGATGTTAGTAGACCTAGATCGAAATATGGATCTACTACTCGGTCTTCTTGCATATCTAGGTTGGTATGTAGCCTAACCTCTCTTCCCGCGTGCCATTTTTGGAGTTTCATTTTCATCTACCAGTGCTTTTCTAACGTCGCTTCTAGGGGCATGCATCATTTCAGTGGCAAGCCATATATCGTCGCATATATGAACCTTTCTGTCACTATCGTGACGGATCTACGTCTTGACAAGCCGGCTCAGGATAACTTTTACAAAGATCTGCATTGCTTCAGACCTTCCTATCCTTATCCCAAGATACCTATATCTACTACTCGCACAAACGAAGAGAGAAGGGCTACTTTAGCATGCTTTATTCTGTGCTCTAGGTATGTACATCTCCCTAACACCTCCTTGACCAACATGCAGTATATGCAATGTAAGTCACAGTACTAAATAAGGCTAAAACTCTTTACCTGTTTAGCATTTCAAATTTTTTGAGAACTCAAACAATGAGGTGGACGGCCCACATGGAAGATTCTCTACAAAAGCTCGCCGCGAATCCGGAATGGATAGGCGACGAAGTCCTTGTAGCAATGGTCAGAACGTATAAAATACACGAGGATGTTGCGCAAATAACCTGGCGCACGGCGGAACCTGCTGGAAACTCAGCAGTAAAGGCGCCTCCCGCCATCTACGTCAAAGCATTGCGCGCCAATCTAGACGCGATTAGAAAAAACCTTCCACCTTCACTCTTAGATAATAGTAAGTCATTACCTTAGTAGCTCTACCTCCATGCCCTCTTCTTTTTTTATCCTTCTCGCATCAAGCTTCCGTCTCGATTATTCAAACCTCTCGAACTCTTCACGACTAACAATGTAATAGAAATCATCAATTCGCACTTATACTCGGCAGAGCTGTCCATAGCGGATATGTCTCTCTGGAACGTGAATGCGTGGCTTTCAACGCATCCTCATAGGCCACAGGGCGTGAGTAATAGTGGAAGCGGAGGTATCGACCTGGGCAAGATAGACGCGTATTATGCTAGTCTCCAAGCAAGCAAGGCATGTCTCGAAAACTTCCTGCGATTTGATTTATCGGAATATCCTGCCATATCCTTCTCGATCACACTCCAGTTTGGCAGGGCGGCGCAAACTCTTTACCGACTAATGATAATAGATGATGCTGAATGGGATCGTAGCATTGTCAAGAACTCCATTGACATGATGGCGGTACTGGAACAGGCGGCCAACAATTTCGCGCAGGTATCTAGCGCGTGCGGTCTGGATAATAACGATGATCCTGATAACATGGACTATTACAGCCGGGCTAGCCTTGCCCTCCGGAGTACGATACCGGTCTGGAGTTCAACGGTGGAACAGGCCAACATCGGAACGAGCGTGGGCTCAGCGGTTCCGGAGGGACCGGGAGTCGCCGCTACTGCTGCAATGTCGTATCAAGTGCAAGCGCAAGTCCTTCCGGAGCTCGCGCCGTTGGAGTGGTTCGACGATCCGTGGCTGTCTGAGGTGGAGTTAACATATGCCTTTTGAGTTTATCCTTACGTGGATAAGGTGTACTACTATTATTGCGCAGACGAGACGCGCTATTATTCCTTCAGCATAGAATACCCCAAGTTTGGCGTCCGGTTCGTGTTTAGGCTAGGGAAAGACGGGAAACGAAACATAGAGCTTAATACGTACTTCGCTCGCAACGATTTTTTGGATATTTATGTAGGTTGACCCTACTCAACCGAAAGCATACGCAGGTTTGGTAGGGTATGATGGCAGTGTTAGAAACCAGACTACTAGGTAGCAACTAACTATATAGAAGATACTTTAGGTAGGAGTCTCAAATCTTAAAAGGAATAAATGAAGATCTTCAATCGTAAAATGGACATTAGGGAATCTTGTTAGAAGTATTCATACTTTACAGTGCTATACAAGGCACCTACCTAACATATAAGTTAACGTCATCTCGAGACGTTGTTAACCTGCCAGTTATGAAGCTTTTATGGAAGATATCGTCTCATAGTTCCTATCAAGCTAGAGTTAAATACAATTAATTGAAGTACCTAAACGTTGAGTGCTTGGTGCTATTATACTATGTACTTTTCAAATCTATCTCATAGGTGGTTGGCCTTTCTTGCCTCCGAATAGACTTACAAGCAAGTCGCAACCAACCGCGGTTAACAATTCAACTACGTGGCATCTTCAACCGAGATCGGGGTTGAATATTTGCGATGCAAATAAATACTATGTCTTTATTTTATTTTATTTTATTTTCGTATTTGTAGGTACGTAGGAGTACGTGAAACTAAATCCTACGATTACGGTATGTAGCTCAATGCCAACCAATAGTTATGCCATTTGAAGTTATTATCGCGAACTTACCTAAGACATATGAGAGAGCCAAAAAAAAAAAAAAAAAAAAAAAAAAAAAAAAAAAAAAGAAAAAAAAAAAAGGAAGGAGGTTGAATTTTTTGTATGGTGGGAGATTCCCAACAAGGGGAGAGGTGA